ATCCGTGGCGCCCCACAAACTACCCCATCCGTGGCGCCCCACAAACTACCCCATCCGTGGCGCCCCACAAACTACCCCATCCGTGGCGCCCCCACAAACTACCCCATCCGTGGCGCCCCCACAAACTACCCCATCCTTGGCGCCCCACAAACTACCCCATCCTTGGCGCCCCACAAACTACCCCATCCGTGGCGCCCCACAAACTACCCCATCCGTGGCGCCCCACAAACTACCCCATCCGTGGCGCCCCACAAACTACCCCATCCTTGGCGCCCCACAAACTACCCCATCCGTGGCGCCCCACAAACTACCCCATCCGTGGCGCCCCACAAACTACCCCATCCGTGGCGCCCCACAAACTACCCCATCCGTGGCGCCCCACAAACTACCCCATCCGTGGCGCCCCACAAACTACCCCATCCGTGGCGCCCCACAAACTACCCCCATCCTTGGCGCCCCACAAACTACCCCATCCGTGGCGCCCCACAAACTACCCCATCCGTGGCGCCCCACAAACTACCCCATCCGTTGGCGCCCCACAAACTACCCCATCCGTGGCGCCCCACAAACTACCCCATCCTTGGCGCCCCACAAACTACCCCATCCGTGGCGCCCCACAAACTACCCCATCCGTGGCGCCCCACAAACTACCCCATCCGTGGCGCCCCACAAACTACCCCATCCGTGGCGCCCCACAAACTACCCCATCCGTGGCGCCCCACAAACTACCCCATCCTTGGCGCCCCACAAACTACCCCCATCCGTGGCGCCCCACAAACTACCCCATCCGTGGCGCCCCACAAACTACCCCATCCTTGGCGCCCCACAAACTACCCCATCCGTGGCGCCCCACAAACTACCCCATCCGTGGCGCCCCACAAACTACCCCATCCGTGGCGCCCCACAAACTACCCCATCCGTGGCGCCCCACAAACTACCCCATCCGTGGCGCCCCACAAACTACCCCATCCTTGGCGCCCCACAAACTACCCCATCCGTGGCGCCCCACAAACTACCCCAATCCGTGGCGCCCCACAAACTACCCCATCCTTGGCGCCCCACAAACTACCCCATCCGTGGCGCCCCACAAACTACCCCATCCGTGGCGCCCCACAAACTACCCCATCCGTGGCGCCCCACAAACTACCCCATCCGTGGCGCCCCACAAACTACCCCATCCGTGGCGCCCCACAAACTACCCCATCCTTGGCGCCCCACAAACTACCCCATCCGTGGCGCCCCACAAACTACCCCATCCTTGGCGCCCCACAAACTACCCCATCCGTGGCGCCCCACAAACTACCCCATCCGTGGCGCCCCACAAACTACCCCCATCCTTGGCGCCCCACAAACTACCCCATCCGTGGCGCCCCACAAACTACCCCATCCGTGGCGCCCCACAAACTACCCCATCCTTGGCGCCCCACAAACTACCCCATCCGTGGCGCCCCACAAACTACCCCATCCGTGGCGCCCCACAAACTACCCCATCCGTGGCGCCCCACAAACTACCCCATCCTTGGCGCCCCACAAACTACCCATCCGTGGCGCCCCACAAACTACCCCATCCTTGGCGCCCCACAAACTACCCCATCCGTGGCGCCCCACAAACTACCCCATCCGTGGCGCCCCACAAACTACCCCATCCGTGGCGCCCCACAAACTACCCCATCCGTGGCGCCCCACAAACTACCCCATCCGTGGCGCCCCACAAACTACCCCATCCTTGGCGCCCCACAAACTACCCCATCCGTGGCGCCCCACAAACTACCCCATCCGTGGCGCCCCACAAACTACCCCATCCTTGGCGCCCCACAAACTACCCCATCCGTGGCGCCCCACAAACTACCCCATCCGTGGCGCCCCACAAACTACCCCATCCGTGGCGCCCCACAAACTACCCCATCCGTGGCGCCCCACAAACTACCCCATCCGTGGCGCCCCACAAACTACCCCATCCGTGGCGCCCCACAAACTACCCCATCCGTGGCGCCCCACAAACTACCCCATCCGTGGCGCCCCACAAACTACCCCATCCGTGGCGCCCCACAAACTACCCCATCCGTGGCGCCCCACAAACTACCCCATCCGTGGCGCCCCACAAACTACCCCATCCGTGGCGCCCCACAAACTACCCCATCCGTGGCGCCCCACAAACTACCCCATCCTTGGCGCCCCACAAACTACCCCATCCTTGGCGCCCCACAAACTACCCCATCCGTGGCGCCCCACAAACTACCCCATCCGTGGCGCCCCACAAACTACCCCATCCGTGGCGCCCCACAAACTACCCCATCCGTGGCGCCCCACAAACTACCCCATCCGTGGCGCCCCACAAACTACCCCATCCTTGGCGCCCCACAAACTACCCCATCCGTGGCGCCCCACAAACTACCCCATCCGTGGCGCCCCACAAACTACCCCATCCTTGGCGCCCCACAAACTACCCCATCCGTGGCGCCCCACAAACTACCCCATCCGTGGCGCCCCACAAACTACCCCATCCTTGGCGCCCCACAAACTACCCCATCCGTGGCGCCCCACAAACTACCCCATCCGTGGCGCCCCACAAACTACCCCATCCTTGGCGCCCCACAAACTACCCCATCCGTGGCGCCCCACAAACTACCCCATCCGTGGCGCCCCACAAACTACCCCATCCTTGGCGCCCCACAAACTACCCCATCCGTGGCGCCCCACAAACTACCCCATCCGTGGCGCCCCACAAACTACCCCATCCTTGGCGCCCCACAAACTACCCCATCCGTGGCGCCCCACAAACTACCCCATCCGTGGCGCCCCACAAACTACCCCATCCTTGGCGCCCCACAAACTACCCCATCCGTGGCGCCCCACAAACTACCCCATCCGTGGCGCCCCACAAACTACCCCATCCTTGGCGCCCCACAAACTACCCCATCCGTGGCGCCCCACAAACTACCCCATCCGTGGCGCCCCACAAACTACCCCATCCGTGGCGCCCCACAAACTACCCCATCCTTGGCGCCCCACAAACTACCCCATCCGTGGCGCCCCACAAACTACCCCATCCGTGGCGCCCCACAAACTACCCCATCCGTGGCGCCCCACAAACTACCCCATCCGTGGCGCCCCACAAACTACCCCATCCGTGGCGCCCCACAAACTACCCCATCCGTGGCGCCCCACAAACTACCCCATCCGTGGCGCCCCACAAACTACCCCATCCGTGGCGCCCCACAAACTACCCCATCCGTGGCGCCCCACAAACTACCCCATCCGTGGCGCCCCACAAACTACCCCATCCGTGGCGCCCCACAAACTACCCCATCCGTGGCGCCCCACAAACTACCCCATCCGTGGCGCCCCACAAACTACCCCATCCTTGGCGCCCCACAAACTACCCCATCCGTGGCGCCCCACAAACTACCCCATCCGTGGCGCCCCACAAACTACCCCATCCTTGGCGCCCCACAAACTACCCCATCCGTGGCGCCCCACAAACTACCCCATCCTTGGCGCCCCACAAACTACCCCATCCGTGGCGCCCCACAAACTACCCCATCCGTGGCGCCCCACAAACTACCCCATCCTTGGCGCCCCACAAACTACCCCATCCGTGGCGCCCCACAAACTACCCCATCCGTGGCGCCCCACAAACTACCCCATCCTTGGCGCCCCACAAACTACCCCATCCGTGGCGCCCCACAAACTACCCCATCCGTGGCGCCCCACAAACTACCCCATCCGTGGCGCCCCACAAACTACCCCATCCGTGGCGCCCCACAAACTACCCCATCCGTGGCGCCCCACAAACTACCCCATCCGTGGCGCCCCACAAACTACCCCATCCGTGGCGCCCCACAAACTACCCCATCCTTGGCGCCCCACAAACTACCCCATCCGTGGCGCCCCACAAACTACCCCATCCGTGGCGCCCCACAAACTACCCCATCCGTGGCGCCCACAAACTAAACATCCTGGCGCCCCACAAACTACCCCATCCGTGGCGCCCCACAAACTACCCCATCCGTGGCGCCCCACAAACTACCCCATCCTTGGCGCCCCACAAACTACCCCATCCGTGGCGCCCCACAAACTACCCCATCCGTGGCGCCCCACAAACTGGCGCCCCACAAACTACCCCATCCGTGGCGCCCCACAAACTACCCCATCCGTGGCGCCCCACAAACTACCCCATCCGTGGCGCCCCACAAACTACCCATCCGGGCCCAAACTACCCCATCCGTGGCGCCCCACAAACTACCCCATCCGTGGCGCCCCACAAACTACCCCATCCTTGGCGCCCCACAAACTACCCCATCCGTGGCGCCCCACAAACTACCCCATCCGTGGCGCCCCACAAACTACCCCATCCTTGGCGCCCCACAAACTACCCCATCCGTGGCGCCCCACAAACTACCCCATCCGTGGCGCCCCACAAACTACCCCATCCTTGGCGCCCCACAAACTACCCCATCCGTGGCGCCCCACAAACTACCCCATCCGTGGCGCCCCACAAACTACCCCATCCTTGGCGCCCCACAAACTACCCCATCCTTGGCGCCCCACAAACTACCCCATCCGTGGCGCCCCACAAACTACCCCATCCGTGGCGCCCCACAAACTACCCCATCCTTGGCGCCCCACAAACTACCCCATCCGTGGCGCCCCACAAACTACCCCATCCGTGGCGCCCCACAAACTACCCCATCCGTGGCGCCCCACAAACTACCCCATCCGTGGCGCCCCACAAACTACCCCATCCGTGGCGCCCCACAAACTACCCCATCCGTGGCGCCCCACAAACTACCCCATCCTTGGCGCCCCACAAACTACCCCATCCGTGGCGCCCCACAAACTACCCCATCCGTGGCGCCCCACAAACTACCCCATCCGTGGCGCCCCACAAACTACCCCATCCGTGGCGCCCCACAAACTACCCCATCCGTGGCGCCCCACAAACTACCCCATCCGTGGCGCCCCACAAACTACCCCATCCGTGGCGCCCCACAAACTAGCCCCATCCGTGGCGCCCCACAAACTACCCCATCCTTGGCGCCCCACAAACTACCCCATCCGTGGCGCCCCACAAACTACCCCATCCGTGGCGCCCCACAAACTACCCCATCCGTGGCGCCCCACAAACTACCCCATCCGTGGCGCCCCACAAACTACCCCATCCTTGGCGCCCCACAAACTACCCCATCCGTGGCGCCCCACAAACTACCCCATCCGTGGCGCCCCACAAACTACCCCATCCGTGGCGCCCCACAAACTACCCCATCCGTGGCGCCCCACAAACTACCCCATCCTTGGCGCCCCACAAACTACCCCATCCGTGGCGCCCCACAAACTACCCCATCCGTGGCGCCCCACAAACTACCCCATCCTTGGCGCCCCACAAACTACCCCATCCGTGGCGCCCCACAAACTACCCCATCCGTGGCGCCCCACAAACTACCCCATCCGTGGCGCCCCACAAACTACCCCATCCGTGGCGCCCCACAAACTACCCCATCCTTGGCGCCCCACAAACTACCCCATCCGTGGCGCCCCACAAACTACCCCATCCGTGGCGCCCCACAAACTTACCCCATCCGTGGCGCCCCACAAACTACCCCATCCGTGGCGCCCCACAAACTACCCCATCCGTGGCGCCCCACAAACTACCCCATCCGTGGCGCCCCACAAACTACCCCATCCTTGGCGCCCCACAAACTACCCCATCCGTGGCGCCCCACAAACTACCCCATCCGTGGCGCCCCACAAACTACCCCATCCGTGGCGCCCCACAAACTACCCCATCCGTGGCGCCCCACAAACTACCCCATCCGTGGCGCCCCACAAACTACCCCATCCGTGGCGCCCCACAAACTACCCCATCCGTGGCGCCCCACAAACTACCCCATCCGTGGCGCCCCACAAACTACCCCATCCTTGGCGCCCCACAAACTACCCCATCCGTGGCGCCCCACAAACTACCCCATCCGTGGCGCCCCACAAACTACCCCATCCTTGGCGCCCCACAAACTACCCCATCCGTGGCGCCCCACAAACTACCCCATCCGTGGCGCCCCACAAACTACCCCATCCTTGGCGCCCCACAAACTACCCCATCCGTGGCGCCCCACAAACTACCCCATCCGTGGCGCCCCACAAACTACCCCATCCTTGGCGCCCCACAAACTACCCCATCCGTGGCGCCCCACAAACTACCCCATCCGTGGCGCCCCACAAACTACCCCATCCTTGGCGCCCCACAAACTACCCCATCCGTGGCGCCCCACAAACTACCCCATCCGTGGCGCCCCACAAACTACCCCATCCGTGGCGCCCCACAAACTACCCCATCCGTGGCGCCCCACAAACTACCCCATCCTTGGCGCCCCACAAACTACCCCATCCGTGGCGCCCCACAAACTACCCCATCCGTGGCGCCCCACAAACTACCCCATCCGTGGCGCCCCACAAACTACCCCATCCGTGGCGCCCCACAAACTACCCCATCCGTGGCGCCCCACAAACTACCCCATCCGTGGCGCCCCACAAACTACCCCATCCGTGGCGCCCCACAAACTACCCCATCCGTGGCGCCCCACAAACTACCCCATCCTTGGCGCCCCACAAACTACCCCATCCGTGGCGCCCCACAAACTACCTAAATACCCCATCCGTGGCGCCCCACAAACTACCCCATCCGTGGCGCCCCACAAACTACCCCATCCGTGGCGCCCCACAAACTACCCCATCCGTGGCGCCCCACAAACTACCCCATCCGTGGCGCCCCACAAACTACCCCATCCTTGGCGCCCCACAAACTACCCCATCCGTGGCGCCCCACAAACTACCCATCCGTGGCGCCCCACAAACTACCCCATCCTTGGCGCCCCACAAACTACCCCATCCGTGGCGCCCCACAAACTACCCCATCCGTGGCGCCCCACAAACTACCCCATCCTTGGCGCCCCACAAACTACCCCATCCGTGGCGCCCCACAAACTACCCCATCCGTGGCGCCCCACAAACTACCCCATCCGTGGCGCCCCACAAACTACCCCATCCGTGGCGCCCCACAAACTACCCCATCCTTGGCGCCCCACAAACTACCCCATCCGTGGCGCCCCACAAACTACCCCATCCGTGGCGCCCCACAAACTACCCCATCCTTGGCGCCCCACAAACTACCCCATCCGTGGCGCCCCACAAACTACCCCATCCGTGGCGCCCCACAAACTACCCCATCCTTGGCGCCCCACAAACTACCCCATCCGTGGCGCCCCACAAACTACCCCATCCGTGGCGCCCCACAAACTACCCCATCCGTGGCGCCCCACAAACTACCCCATCCTTGGCGCCCCACAAACTACCCCATCCGTGGCGCCCCACAAACTACCCCATCCGTGGCGCCCCACAAACTACCCCATCCTTGGCGCCCCACAAACTACCCATCCGTGGCGCCCCACAAACTACCCCATCCGTGGCGCCCCACAAACTACCCCATCCGTGGCGCCCCACAAACTACCCCCATCCGTGGCGCCCCACAAACTACCCCATCCGTGGCGCCCCACAAACTACCCCATCCTTGGCGCCCCACAAACTACCCCATCCGTGGCGCCCCACAAACTACCCCATCCGTGGCGCCCCACAAACTACCCCATCCTTGGCGCCCCACAAACTACCCCATCCGTGGCGCCCCACAAACTACCCCATCCGTGGCGCCCCACAAACTACCCCATCCGTGGCGCCCCACAAACTACCCCATCCGTGGCGCCCCACAAACTACCCCATCCTTGGCGCCCCACAAACTACCCCATCCGTGGCGCCCCACAAACTACCCCATCCGTGGCGCCCCACAAACTACCCCATCCTTGGCGCCCCACAAACTACCCCATCCGTGGCGCCCCACAAACTACCCCATCCGTGGCGCCCCACAAACTACCCCATCCTTGGCGCCCCACAAACTACCCCATCCGTGGCGCCCCACAAACTACCCCATCCGTGGCGCCCCACAAACTACCCCATCCTTGGCGCCCCACAAACTACCCCATCCGTGGCGCCCCACAAACTACCCCATCCGTGGCGCCCCACAAACTACCCCATCCGTGGCGCCCCACAAACTACCCCATCCTTGGCGCCCCACAAACTACCCCATCCGTGGCGCCCCACAAACTACCCCATCCGTGGCGCCCCACAAACTACCCCATCCTTGGCGCCCCACAAACTACCCCATCCGTGGCGCCCCACAAACTACCCCATCCGTGGCGCCCCACAAACTACCCCATCCTTGGCGCCCCACAAACTACCCCATCCGTGGCGCCCCACAAACTACCCCATCCGTGGCGCCCCACAAACTACCCCATCCGTGGCGCCCCACAAACTACCCCATCCGTGGCGCCCCACAAACTACCCCATCCTTGGCGCCCCACAAACTACCCCATCCGTGGCGCCCCACAAACTACCCCATCCGTGGCGCCCCACAAACTACCCCATCCTTGGCGCCCCACAAACTACCCCATCCGTGGCGCCCCACAAACTACCCCATCCGTGGCGCCCCACAAACTACCCCATCCTTGGCGCCCCACAAACTACCCCATCCGTGGCGCCCCACAAACTACCCCATCCGTGGCGCCCACAAACTACCCCATCCGTGGCGCCCCACAAACTACCCCATCCTTGGCGCCCCACAAACTACCCCATCCGTGGCGCCCCACAAACTACCCCATCCGTGGCGCCCCACAAACTACCCCATCCGTGGCGCCCCACAAACTACCCCATCCGTGGCGCCCCACAAACTACCCCATCCGTGGCGCCCCACAAACTACCCCATCCGTGGCGCCCCACAAACTACCCCATCCGTGGCGCCCCACAAACTACCCCATCCGTGGCGCCCCACAAACTACCCCATCCTTGGCGCCCCACAAACTACCCCATCCGTGGCGCCCCACAAACTACCCCATCCGTGGCGCCCCACAAACTACCCCATCCTTGGCGCCCCACAAACTACCCCATCCGTGGCGCCCCACAAACTACCCCATCCGTGGCGCCCCACAAACTACCCCATCCTTGGCGCCCCACAAACTACCCCATCCGTGGCGCCCCACAAACTACCCCATCCGTGGCGCCCCACAAACTACCCCATCCGTGGCGCCCCACAAAACTACCCCATCCGTGGCGCCCCACAAACTACCCCATCCGTGGCGCCCCACAAACTACCCCATCCGTGGCGCCCCACAAACTACCCCATCCGTGGCGCCCCACAAACTACCCCATCCTTGGCGCCCCACAAACTACCCCATCCGTGGCGCCCCACAAACTACCCCATCCGTGGCGCCCCACAAACTACCCCATCCTTGGCGCCCCACAAACTACCCCATCCGTGGCGCCCCACAAACTACCCCATCCGTGGCGCCCCACAAACTACCCCATCCTTGGCGCCCCACAAACTACCCCATCCGTGGCGCCCCACAAACTACCCCATCCGTGGCGCCCCACAAACTACCCCATCCTTGGCGCCCCACAAACTACCCCATCCGTGGCGCCCCACAAACTACCCCATCCGTGGCGCCCCACAAACTACCCCATCCGTGGCGCCCCACAAACTACCCCATCCGTGGCGCCCCACAAACTACCCCATCCGTGGCGCCCCACAAACTACCCCATCCGTGGCGCCCCACAAACTACCCCATCCGTGGCGCCCCACAAACTACCCCATCCGTGGCGCCCCACAAACTACCCCATCCGTGGCGCCCCACAAACTACCCCATCCTTGGCGCCCCACAAACTACCCCATCCGTGGCGCCCCACAAACTACCCCATCCGTGGCGCCCCACAAACTACCCCATCCTTGGCGCCCCACAAACTACCCCATCCGTGGCGCCCCACAAACTACCCCATCCGTGGCGCCCCACAAACTACCCCATCCGTGGCGCCCCACAAACTACCCCATCCGTGGCGCCCCACAAACTACCCCATCCTTGGCGCCCCACAAACTACCCCATCCGTGGCGCCCCACAAACTACCCCATCCGTGGCGCCCCACAAACTACCCCATCCGTGGCGCCCCACAAACTACCCCATCCGTGGCGCCCCACAAACTACCCCATCCGTGGCGCCCCACAAACTACCCCATCCGTGGCGCCCCACAAACTACCCCATCCGTGGCGCCCCACAAACTACCCCATCCTTGGCGCCCCACAAACTACCCCATCCGTGGCGCCCCACAAACTACCCCATCCGTGGCGCCCCACAAACTACCCCATCCTTGGCGCCCCACAAACTACCCCATCCGTGGCGCCCCACAAACTACCCCATCCGTGGCGCCCCACAAACTACCCCATCCGTGGCGCCCCACAAACTACCCCATCCGTGGCGCCCCACAAACTACCCCATCCGTGGCGCCCCACAAACTACCCCATCCGTGGCGCCCCACAAAACTACCCCATCCGTGGCGCCCCACAAACTACCCCATCCGTGGCGCCCCACAAACTACCCCATCCGTGGCGCCCCACAAACTACCCCATCCGTGGCGCCCCACAAACTACCCCATCCGTGGCGCCCCACAAACTACCCCATCCTTGGCGCCCCACAAACTACCCCATCCGTGGCGCCCCACAAACTACCCCATCCGTGGCGCCCCACAAACTACCCCATCCTTGGCGCCCCACAAACTACCCCATCCGTGGCGCCCCACAAACTACCCCATCCGTGGCGCCCCACAAACTACCCCATCCGTGGCGCCCCACAAACTACCCCATCCGTGGCGCCCCACAAACTACCCCATCCTTGGCGCCCCACAAACTACCCCATCCGTGGCGCCCCACAAACTACCCCATCCGTGGCGCCCCACAAACTACCCCATCCTTGGCGCCCCACAAACTACCCCATCCGTGGCGCCCCACAAACTACCCCATCCGTGGCGCCCCACAAACTACCCCATCCTTGGCGCCCCACAAACTACCCCATCCGTGGCGCCCCACAAACTACCCCATCCGTGGCGCCCCACAAACTACCCCATCCGTGGCGCCCCACAAACTACCCCATCCGTGGCGCCCCACAAACTACCCCATCCGTGGCGCCCCACAAACTACCCCATCCGTGGCGCCCCCACAAACTACCCCATCCGTGGCGCCCCACAAACTACCCCATCCGTGGCGCCCCACAAACTACCCCATCCGTGGCGCCCCACAAACTACCCCATCCGTGGCGCCCCACAAACTACCCCATCCGTGGCGCCCCACAAACTACCCCATCCGTGGCGCCCCACAAACTACCCCATCCGTGGCGCCCCACAAACTACCCCATCCGTGGCGCCCCACAAACTACCCCATCCTTGGCGCCCCACAAACTACCCCATCCGTGGCGCCCCACAAACTACCCCATCCGTGGCGCCCCACAAACTACCCCATCCGTGGCGCCCCACAAACTACCCCATCCGTGGCGCCCCACAAACTACCCCATCCGTGGCGCCCCACAAACTACCCCATCCGTGGCGCCCCACAAACTACCCCATCCTTGGCGCCCCACAAACTACCCCATCCGTGGCGCCCCACAAACTACCCCATCCGTGGCGCCCCACAAACTACCCCATCCTTGGCGCCCCACAAACTACCCCATCCGTGGCGCCCCACAAACTACCCCATCCGTGGCGCCCCACAAACTACCCCATCCTTGGCGCCCCACAAACTACCCCATCCGTGGCGCCCCACAAACTACCCCATCCGTGGCGCCCCACAAACTACCCCATCCGTGGCGCCCCACAAACTACCCCATCCGTGGCGCCCCACAAACTACCCCATCCTTGGCGCCCCACAAACTACCCCATCCGTGGCGCCCCACAAACTACCCCATCCGTGGCGCCCCACAAACTACCCCATCCTTGGCGCCCCACAAACTACCCCATCCGTGGCGCCCCACAAACTACCCCATCCGTGGCGCCCCACAAACTACCCCATCCTTGGCGCCCCACAAACTACCCCATCCTTGGCGCCCCACAAACTACCCCATCCGTGGCGCCCCACAAACTACCCCATCCGTGGCGCCCCACAAACTACCCCATCCTTGGCGCCCCACAAACTACCCCATCCGTGGCGCCCCACAAACTACCCCATCCGTGGCGCCCCACAAACTACCCCATCCTTGGCGCCCCACAAACTACCCCATCCGTGGCGCCCCACAAACTACCCCATCCGTGGCGCCCCACAAACTACCCCATCCGTGGCGCCCCACAAACTACCCCATCCGTGGCGCCCCACAAACTACCCCATCCGTGGCGCCCCACAAACTACCCCATCCGTGGCGCCCCACAAACTACCCCATCCTTGGCGCCCCACAAACTACCCCATCCGTGGCGCCCCACAAACTACCCCATCCGTGGCGCCCCACAAACTACCCCATCCGTGGCGCCCCACAAACTACCCCATCCGTGGCGCCCCACAAACTACCCCATCCGTGGCGCCCCACAAACTACCCCATCCGTGGCGCCCCACAAACTACCCCATCCGTGGCGCCCCACAAACTACCCCATCCGTGGCGCCCCACAAACTACCCCATCCGTGGCGCCCCACAAACTACCCCATCCGTGGCGCCCCACAAACTACCCCATCCGTGGCGCCCCACAAACTACCCCATCCGTGGCGCCCCACAAACTACCCCATCCGTGGCGCCCCACAAACTACCCCATCCGTGGCGCCCCACAAACTACCCCATCCGTGGCGCCCCACAAACTACCCCATCCGTGGCGCCCCACAAACTACCCCATCCGTGGCGCCCCACAAACTACCCCATCCTTGGCGCCCCACAAACTACCCCATCCGTGGCGCCCCACAAACTACCCCATCCGTGGCGCCCCACAAACTACCCCATCCTTGGCGCCCCACAAACTACCCCATCCGTGGCGCCCCACAAACTACCCCATCCGTGGCGCCCCACAAACTACCCCATCCGTGGCGCCCCACAAACTACCCCATCCGTGGCGCCCCACAAACTACCCCATCCTTGGCGCCCCACAAACTACCCCATCCGTGGCGCCCCACAAACTACCCCATCCGTGGCGCCCCACAAACTACCCCATCCTTGGCGCCCCACAAACTACCCCATCCGTGGCGCCCCACAAACTACCCCATCCTTGGCGCCCCACAAACTACCCCATCCGTGGCGCCCCACAAACTACCCCATCCGTGGCGCCCCACAAACTACCCCATCCTTGGCGCCCCACAAACTACCCCATCCGTGGCGCCCCACAAACTACCCCATCCGTGGCGCCCCACAAACTACCCCATCCTTGGCGCCCCACAAACTACCCCATCCGTGGCGCCCCACAAACTACCCCATCCGTGGCGCCCCACAAACTACCCCATCCTTGGCGCCCCACAAACTACCCCATCCGTGGCGCCCCACAAACTACCCCATCCGTGGCGCCCCACAAACTACCCCATCCGTGGCGCCCCACAAACTACCCCATCCTTGGCGCCCCACAAACTACCCCATCCTTGGCGCCCCACAAACTACCCCATCCGTGGCGCCCCACAAACTACCCCATCCGTGGCGCCCCACAAACTACCCCATCCTTGGCGCCCCACAAACTACCCCATCCGTGGCGCCCCACAAACTACCCCATCCGTGGCGCCCCACAAACTACCCCATCCTTGGCGCCCCACAAACTACCCCATCCGTGGCGCCCCACAAACTACCCCATCCGTGGCGCCCCACAAACTACCCCATCCGTGGCGCCCCACAAACTACCCCATCCGTGGCGCCCCACAAACTACCCCATCCGTGGCGCCCCACAAACTACCCCATCCTTGGCGCCCCACAAACTACCCCATCCGTGGCGCCCCACAAACTACCCCATCCGTGGCGCCCCACAAACTACCCCATCCTTGGCGCCCCACAAACTACCCCATCCGTGGCGCCCCACAAACTACCCCATCCGTGGCGCCCCACAAACTACCCCATCCGTGGCGCCCCACAAACTACCCCATCCGTGGCGCCCCACAAACTACCCCATCCTTGGCGCCCCACAAACTACCCCATCCGTGGCGCCCCACAAACTACCCCATCCGTGGCGCCCCACAAACTACCCCATCCGTGGCGCCCCACAAACTACCCCATCCTTGGCGCCCCACAAACTACCCCATCCGTGGCGCCCCACAAACTACCCCCATCCGTGGCGCCCCACAAACTACCCCATCCTTGGCGCCCCACAAACTACCCCATCCGTGGCGCCCCACAAACTACCCCATCCGTGGCGCCCCACAAACTACCCCATCCTTGGCGCCCCACAAACTACCCCATCCGTGGCGCCCCACAAACTACCCCATCCGTGGCGCCCCACAAACTACCCCATCCGTGGCGCCCCACAAACTACCCCATCCTTGGCGCCCCACAAACTACCCCATCCGTGGCGCCCCACAAACTACCCCATCCGTGGCGCCCCACAAACTACCCCATCCGTGGCGCCCCACAAACTACCCCATCCGTGGCGCCCCACAAACTACCCCATCCGTGGCGCCCCACAAACTACCCCATCCGTGGCGCCCCACAAACTACCCCATCCGTGGCGCCCCACAAACTACCCCATCCGTGGCGCCCCACAAACTACCCCATCCGTGGCGCCCCACAAACTACCCCATCCGTGGCGCCCCACAAACTACCCCATCCGTGGCGCCCCACAAACTACCCCATCCGTGGCGCCCCACAAACTACCCCATCCGTGGCGCCCCACAAACTACCCCATCCTTGGCGCCCCACAAACTACCCCATCCGTGGCGCCCCACAAACTACCCCATCCGTGGCGCCCCACAAACTACCCCATCCTTGGCGCCCCACAAACTACCCCATCCGTGGCGCCCCACAAACTACCCCATCCGTGGCGCCCCACAAACTACCCCATCCGTGGCGCCCCACAAACTACCCCATCCTTGGCGCCCCACAAACTACCCCATCCTTGGCGCCCCACAAACTACCCCATCCGTGGCGCCCCCACAAACTACCCCATCCTTGGCGCCCCACAAACTACCCCATCCGTGGCGCCCCACAAACTACCCCATCCGTGGCGCCCCACAAACTACCCCATCCGTGGCGCCCCACAAACTACCCCATCCGTGGCGCCCCACAAACTACCCCATCCGTGGCGCCCCACAAACTACCCCATCCGTGGCGCCCCACAAACTACCCCATCCGTGGCGCCCCACAAACTACCCCATCCGTGGCGCCCCACAAACTACCCCATCCGTGGCGCCCCACAAACTACCCCATCCTTGGCGCCCCACAAACTACCCCATCCGTGGCGCCCCACAAACTACCCCATCCGTGGCGCCCCACAAACTACCCCATCCGTGGCGCCCCACAAACTACCCCATCCGTGGCGCCCCACAAACTACCCCATCCGTGGCGCCCCACAAACTACCCCATCCGTGGCGCCCCACAAACTACCCCATCCTTGGCGCCCCACAAACTACCCCATCCGTGGCGCCCCACAAACTACCCCATCCGTGGCGCCCCACAAACTACCCCATCCGTGGCGCCCCACAAACTACCCCATCCTTGGCGCCCCACAAACTACCCAATCTTGCGCCCACAAACTAACCCATCCGTGGCGCCCCACAAACTACCCCATCCGTGGCGCCCCACAAACTACCCCATCCGTGGCGCCCCACAAACTACCCCATCCGTGGCGCCCCACAAACTACCCCATCCTTGGCGCCCCACAAACTACCCCATCCGTGGCGCCCCACAAACTACCCCATCCGTGGCGCCCCACAAACTACCCATCCGTGGCGCCCCACAAACTACCCCATCCGTGGCGCCCCACAAACTACCCCATCCGTGGCGCCCCACAAACTACCCCATCCGTGGCGCCCCACAAACTACCCCATCCGTGGCGCCCCACAAACTACCCCATCCGTGGCGCCCCACAAACTACCCCATCCGTGGCGCCCCACAAACTACCCCATCCTTGGCGCCCCACAAACTACCCCATCCTTGGCGCCCCACAAACTACCCCATCCGTGGCGCCCCACAAACTACCCCATCCGTGGCGCCCCACAAACTACCCCATCCTTGGCGCCCCACAAACTACCCCATCCGTGGCGCCCCACAAACTACCCCATCCGTGGCGCCCCACAAACTACCCCATCCTTGGCGCCCCACAAACTACCCCATCCGTGGCGCCCCACAAACTACCCCATCCGTGGCGCCCCACAAACTACCCCATCCGTGGCGCCCCACAAACTACCCCATCCGTGGCGCCCCACAAACTACCCCATCCGTGGCGCCCCACAAACTACCCCATCCGTGGCGCCCCACAAACTACCCCATCCTTGGCGCCCCACAAACTACCCCATCCGTGGCGCCCCACAAACTACCCCATCCGTGGCGCCCCACAAACTACCCCATCCGTGGCGCCCCACAAACTACCCCATCCGTGGCGCCCCACAAACTACCCCATCCGTGGCGCCCCACAAACTACCCCATCCGTGGCGCCCCACAAACTACCCCATCCGTGGCGCCCCACAAACTACCCCATCCGTGGCGCCCCACAAACTACCCCATCCTTGGCGCCCCACAAACTACCCCATCCGTGGCGCCCCACAAACTACCCCATCCGTGGCGCCCCACAAACTACCCCATCCTTGGCGCCCCACAAACTACCCCATCCGTGGCGCCCCACAAACTACCCCATCCGTGGCGCCCCACAAACTACCCCATCCTTGGCGCCCCACAAACTACCCCATCCGTGGCGCCCCACAAACTACCCCATCCGTGGCGCCCCACAAACTACCCCATCCTTGGCGCCCCACAAACTACCCCATCCGTGGCGCCCCACAAACTACCCCATCCGTGGCGCCCCACAAACTACCCCATCCTTGGCGCCCCACAAACTACCCCATCCTTGGCGCCCCACAAACTACCCCATCCGTGGCGCCCCACAAACTACCCCATCCGTGGCGCCCCACAAACTACCCCATCCGTGGCGCCCCACAAACTACCCCATCCGTGGCGCCCCACAAACTACCCCATCCGTGGCGCCCCACAAACTACCCCATCCGTGGCGCCCCACAAACTACCCCATCCGTGGCGCCCCACAAACTACCCCATCCGTGGCGCCCCACAAACTACCCCATCCGTGCGCCCCACAAACTACCCCATCCGTGGCGCCCCACAAACTACCCCATCCGTGGCGCCCCACAAACTACCCCATCCTTGGCGCCCCACAAACTACCCCATCCGTGGCGCCCCACAAACTACCCCATCCGTGGCGCCCCACAAACTACCCCATCCGTGGCGCCCCACAAACTACCCCATCCGTGGCGCCCCACAAACTACCCCATCCTTGGCGCCCCACAAACTACCCCATCCGTGGCGCCCCACAAACTACCCCATCCGTGGCGCCCCACAAACTACCCCATCCGTGGCGCCCCACAAACTACCCCATCCGTGGCGCCCCACAAACTACCCCATCCGTGGCGCCCCACAAACTACCCCATCCGTGGCGCCCCACAAACTACCCCATCCGTGGCGCCCCACAAACTACCCCATCCGTGGCGCCCCACAAACTACCCCATCCGTGGCGCCCCACAAACTACCCCATCCGTGGCGCCCCACAAACTACCCCATCCTTGGCGCCCCACAAACTACCCCATCCGTGGCGCCCCACAAACTACCCCATCCGTGGCGCCCCACAAACTACCCCATCCGTGGCGCCCCACAAACTACCCCATCCTTGGCGCCCCACAAACTACCCCATCCGTGGCGCCCCACAAACTACCCCATCCGTGGCGCCCCACAAACTACCCCATCCGTGGCGCCCCACAAACTACCCCATCCTTGGCGCCCCACAAACTACCCCATCCGTGGCGCCCCACAAACTACCCCATCCGTGGCGCCCCACAAACTACCCCATCCGTGGCGCCCCACAAACTACCCCATCCGTGGCGCCCCACAAACTACCCCATCCGTGGCGCCCCACAAACTACCCCATCCGTGGCGCCCCACAAACTACCCCATCCTTGGCGCCCCACAAACTACCCCATCCGTGGCGCCCCACAAACTACCCCATCCGTGGCGCCCCACAAACTACCCCATCCGTGGCGCCCCACAAACTACCCCATCCGTGGCGCCCCACAAACTACCCCATCCGTGGCGCCCCACAAACTACCCCATCCGTGGCGCCCCACAAACTACCCCATCCTTGGCGCCCCACAAACTACCCCATCCGTGGCGCCCCACAAACTACCCCATCCGTGGCGCCCCACAAACTACCCCATCCGTGGCGCCCCACAAACTACCCCATCCTTGGCGCCCCACAAACTACCCCATCCGTGGCGCCCCACAAACTACCCCATCCGTGGCGCCCCACAAACTACCCCATCCGTGGCGCCCCACAAAACTACCCCATCCTTGGCGCCCCACAAACTACCCCATCCGTGGCGCCCCACAAACTACCCCATCCTTGGCGCCCCACAAACTACCCCATCCGTGGCGCCCCACAAACTACCCCATCCGTGGCGCCCCACAAACTACCCCATCCGTGGCGCCCCACAAACTACCCCATCCTTGGCGCCCCACAAACTACCCCATCCGTGGCGCCCCACAAACTACCCCATCCGTGGCGCCCCACAAACTACCCCATCCTTGGCGCCCCACAAACTACCCCATCCGTGGCGCCCCACAAACTACCCCATCCGTGGCGCCCCACAAACTACCCCATCCGTGGCGCCCCACAAACTACCCCATCCTTGGCGCCCCACAAACTACCCCATCCGTGGCGCCCCACAAACTACCCCATCCGTGGCGCCCCACAAACTACCCCATCCTTGGCGCCCCACAAACTACCCCATCCGTGGCGCCCCACAAACTACCCCATCCGTGGCGCCCCACAAACTACCCCATCCGTGGCGCCCCACAAACTACCCCATCCGTGGCGCCCCACAAACTACCCCATCCTTGGCGCCCCACAAACTACCCCATCCGTGGCGCCCCACAAACTACCCCATCCGTGGCGCCCCACAAACTACCCCATCCGTGGCGCCCCACAAACTACCCCATCCGTGGCGCCCCACAAACTACCCCATCCGTGGCGCCCCACAAACTACCCCATCCGTGGCGCCCCACAAACTACCCCATCCGTGGCGCCCCACAAACTACCCCATCCGTGGCGCCCCACAAACTACCCCATCCGTGGCGCCCCACAAACTACCCCATCCGTGGCGCCCCACAAACTACCCCATCCGTGGCGCCCCACAAACTACCCCATCCGTGGCGCCCCACAAACTACCCCATCCGTGGCGCCCCACAAACTACCCCATCCTTGGCGCCCCACAAACTACCCCATCCGTGGCGCCCCACAAACTACCCCATCCGTGGCGCCCCACAAACTACCCCATCCTTGGCGCCCCACAAACTACCCCATCCGTGGCGCCCCACAAACTACCCCATCCGTGGCGCCCCACAAACTACCCCATCCTTGGCGCCCCACAAACTACCCCATCCGTGGCGCCCCACAAACTACCCCATCCGTGGCGCCCCACAAACTACCCCATCCTTGGCGCCCCACAAACTACCCCATCCGTGGCGCCCCACAAACTACCCCATCCGTGGCGCCCCACAAACTACCCCATCCGTGGCGCCCCACAAACTACCCCATCCGTGGCGCCCCACAAACTACCCCATCCGTGGCGCCCCACAAACTACCCCATCCGTGGCGCCCCACAAACTACCCCATCCGTGGCGCCCCACAAACTACCCCATCCGTGGCGCCCCACAAACTACCCCATCCGTGGCGCCCCACAAACTACCCCATCCGTGGCGCCCCACAAACTACCCCATCCGTGGCGCCCCACAAACTACCCCATCCGTGGCGCCCCACAAACTACCCCATCCGTGGCGCCCCACAAACTACCCCATCCGTGGCGCCCCACAAACTACCCCATCCGTGGCGCCCCACAAACTACCCCATCCGTGGCGCCCCACAAACTACCCCATCCTTGGCGCCCCACAAACTACCCCATCCTTGGCGCCCCACAAACTACCCCATCCTTGGCGCCCCACAAACTACCCCATCCGTGGCGCCCCACAAACTACCCCATCCGTGGCGCCCCACAAACTACCCCATCCGTGGCGCCCCACAAACTACCCCATCCGTGGCGCCCCACAAACTACCCCATCCGTGGCGCCCCACAAACTACCCCATCCGTGGCGCCCCACAAACTACCCCATCCTTGGCGCCCCACAAACTACCCCATCCGTGGCGCCCCACAAACTACCCCATCCGTGGCGCCCCACAAACTACCCCATCCTTGGCGCCCCACAAACTACCCCATCCGTGGCGCCCCACAAACTACCCCATCCTTGGCGCCCCACAAACTACCCCATCCGTGGCGCCCCACAAACTACCCCATCCGTGGCGCCCCACAAACTACCCATCCTTGGCGCCCCACAAACTACCCCATCCGTGGCGCCCCACAAACTACCCCATCCTTGGCGCCCCACAAACTACCCCATCCGTGGCGCCCCACAAACTACCCCATCCGTGGCGCCCCACAAACTACCCCATCCGTGGCGCCCCACAAACTACCCCATCCGTGGCGCCCCACAAACTACCCCATCCGTGGCGCCCCACAAACTACCCCATCCGTGGCGCCCCACAAACTACCCCATCCTTGGCGCCCCACAAACTACCCCATCCGTGGCGCCCCACAAACTACCCCATCCGTGGCGCCCCACAAACTACCCCATCCTTGGCGCCCCACAAACTACCCCATCCGTGGCGCCCCACAAACTACCCCATCCGTGGCGCCCCACAAACTACCCCATCCTTGGCGCCCCACAAACTACCCCATCCGTGGCGCCCCACAAACTACCCCATCCGTGGCGCCCCACAAACTACCCCATCCTTGGCGCCCCACAAACTACCCCATCCGTGGCGCCCCACAAACTACCCCATCCTTGGCGCCCCACAAACTACCCCATCCTTGGCGCCCCACAAACTACCCCATCCGTGGCGCCCCACAAACTACCCCATCCGTGGCGCCCCACAAACTACCCCATCCGTGGCGCCCCACAAACTACCCCATCCGTGGCGCCCCACAAACTACCCCATCCGTGGCGCCCCACAAACTACCCCATCCGTGGCGCCCCACAAACTACCCCATCCTTGGCGCCCCACAAACTACCCCATCCTTGGCGCCCCACAAACTACCCCATCCGTGGCGCCCCACAAACTACCCCATCCGTGGCGCCCCACAAACTACCCCATCCTTGGCGCCCCACAAACTACCCCATCCGTGGCGCCCCACAAACTACCCCATCCGTGGCGCCCCACAAACTACCCCATCCGTGGCGCCCCACAAACTACCCCATCCGTGGCGCCCCACAAACTACCCCATCCTTGGCGCCCCACAAACTACCCCATCCGTGGCGCCCCACAAACTACCCCATCCTTGACACTTCACTAATCACCTTCTCTCGGGAGAGCCGGCATGCTGCTTATTGATTTGACTCGAAACACATCTTTCCTAACCATGACGCCTAGCAACTTACCTTTTCTCGGAGTGCTTGGATAATGCCGGGAAACGTCTTGGCCACGTCTTTGAAGTTGCTTTTGAGTCGCCTCAAAAGCCTTTTCATCCGCAAATCCCCACAACTTACCTTTTCTCGGAGAGCCTGGATGATGCCGGAAAACGTCTTGGCCACGTCTGTGAAGTTGGCGATGCCTCCACCAATCAGCAGCGCGCGTGGACGGCCGTCAGGATTGGCTGTGGCGCACTGAAGATGGAGGGGAAGCGGGAGGTAGGGTGGGGGGCGCAGGGGGGAAAAGGTGGGAAGGAGGGGAGGGAAAGAGGGGCGCATGGAAATTAACAGCGTTAGGCGCGAGTGGAGTTGCTGACATACCCTGTTCAAAGGCGGGCAGCGGTGTTAGGAAGAGGCAGGGGAAGAGCTTCTGTGGATCAAGAAACATGCACCAAGGGGTTAATTGTGGATTCATGCCACAAGAATCATGACGACTCACGTCGATCAAGATGCGGGCATACTGCAGTGTCTCCTGCTCGTTGGGCGCTCCACTATACTCTTTTGAGTCGACTCAGAATTCACGCCAGTGGAATCGTGAGAGACTCACGTCAATTAAGATGCGGGCATACTGCTGTGTCTCCTTCTCGTTGGGCGCTCCACTATACTCTTTTGAGTCGACTCAGGATTCACGCCAGTGGAATCGTGAGAGACTCACGTCAATCAAGATGCGGGCATACTGCAGTGTCTCCTGCTCGTTGGGCGCTCCACTGTACTCAGCATAGTTGCCCAGCTCCTGTGCGTAGCCCAAGTCCCCCACCTGCATGCCACAGAGAGGAACAGCCCAGACACACAGGCACTGAGGCACAAGCACAGGTGCGTGCGCAGACATTTGAGTGCATTGGTGGAAGAATGGAGACAGGTAGAAGGGAGATGGAGCCTGGGACACCATTTGGTATCAGTACTCTGCAAATATGCCCACCTCCTGTGCGCAGCCCAGGTTGCTAATTAACGCAGGACGCCGAGAGGCACAGCCCAGTTGAATGGGGGACAGAAGGAAGGCCAAGATACAAGTGCAAGCTATGCCGCCGTGGGCGCAAAAGACAGAAACACAGTATGGGCTTATTGAATTGAATTGCCTTTGTAACAGATGAAAGAGGGGGACAGATGTGTGGCATACAGTATCTGCATAGATAACGGACACCCCTCCACCTACCACCATGGTCCAGACCTTTGAGAGGCGCCTCAATAGTGAACACAAAAAGAAAACTTTAATGAAAGTGGGAGAGGGGCGTACAGTGTCGGCATAGATGACTGAAGCTCCTCCGCCTGCCACCATGGTCCAGATGCGGCCCTTGGGGTTCAGAATGGTGAGCTTGAGCGAGGCCCCCGTCTGATGGAGGAGAGGGGAGTGGAGATACACGAGAGGGGAAGGGAGATGGATATTGCTGAGATTGGAAAACGGAGGATTTGGGGGATGTGAGAATGGGGGAGACCAGAGGAGACGGAAGGGGGAGAAACAGAGGAGATGTGGAAGGGGGGAGAACAGAGGAAATGAGGGAAGGGAAAATGTGGAAAAACAGAGGAGTTGTGGGAAAGGAAAAGGGATCAGAACAAAAGGAGTGGTGCGAAAGGAGAAGGGTTGAAACAGGCATGGCACACACGACATGGCAGGAGTGGGGGCGGGGAAGGGAGTGATGGCTTGAGCAGGCATGGCACACACGACACGTCCCACAGGAAATTGTCAGGCCCCCAACGGTCACACTCACAGACCCACCCAAAGTCACACTGGAAGGCCCACCCATTCTCACTGAAAGGTCCCATATTCACGCTCCCCACGCTCACCTTCTCATCCATCTCGTGAATCCTCTCCTCTGAAGGAGACATGGTGACTTGTGCTGTGAGTCGACTAAAAATGAAGTGCTTTTTGAGTCGACTAAAATTGATCCCCCATGCTCACCTTCTCATCCATCTCGTGAATCCTCTCCTCTGAAGGAGACATGGTGCGGCCAAAGGGGAGAGGAAACTCCACGTCACCCCACCTGCACTCGTGCGCAGTTGAGAGGAGGGGGCGTTGGGGAGACAGGGATTACTTTTAGTCAACTCGCAAAGCACTTCCGAGCCAAGTCTCCACGTCGCCCCACCTGCACTCGTGCGTAGTCGAGGGGAGGGGGCGTTGGGGAGACAGGGATTACTTTCCTTCAACTCGCAAAGCACTTCCGAGTCAATTCTCCATGCCAAATCGCCCCACCTGCACTCGTGTGCAGTGGAGGGGGGGTGGCGGAGAAAATCATCAATTGGAGTCGACACAGAAATTCGAGTCACTGGAAGTGTTTGAACTGCGCTGTGGCATCCATCCGCCCAGGCGGATGGATTAAAACATGCGCCTAAGATGTGGCATCCATCCGCCGCGCATGTCGAGGTCAGATAGGGGCCTACATCTGTGCGTTGCAAGTGTTTAGACTGTGATGAAGTGTGATATATGGAGTGAGTGAACGTACTTCTGGAAGTGCTTGAACTGCGCCGTGTCGTCAAGCTCGCCGCCATGTCGAGTCCAGAGAGGGGGGGAACTGACCTATCAGAAGCGACCCTAGCTACAGCTGAGGCTACAGGTTGCAAGGCAGAGGCACTGAATGGGACGTACTTCTGGAAGTGTTTGAACTGCGCCGTGTCGTCAAGCTTCCCGCGCATGTCAAGAGGAAAGGGGGGGGCGAATCCTTAGGCTGTGAGTTGCAAGGCAGTGAGTGAATGAGTGAACGTACTTCTGGAAGTGCTTGAACTGTGCCGTGTCGTCGAGCTCGCCCCGCATGTCGAGTCCAGACCGGGGGGAACAAACCTATCAGAAGCCAACCGAGTTACAGTTGAGGCTATAGATTGTGAGGCAGCGTGCGCCCAGTTAAACATACTTCTGGAAGTGTTTGAACTGTGCCGTGTCGTCAAGCTCGCCGCGCATGTCCAGTCCAGAGAGGGGGGGAACAGATCTATTGTAGGTTATAGCTTCCGAGGAGGAGGGCACTCAATGGGACGTATCTGGAAGTGCTTGAACTGTGCCGTGTCGTCAAGCTCCCCGCGCATGTCGAGTCCAGACCGGGGGTGACAAACCTATCAGAAGCCAACCGAGCTACAGTTGAGGCTATAGATGGTGGGCAGCGTGCGTGCGCACAGTTAAACGTAGTTAAACATACTTCTGGAAGTGTTTGAACTGTGCCGTGTCGTCGAGCTCGCCGCGCATGTCGAGAGGAAAGGGCTCCCCGTTGACCACAATGAAGGGGTTCATCTCTATCAGTGTGAAGTCCAGGTCTGAAGGGGGAAGTGGGATAAAAGGAGAGGGTGGGGGGAAGAAATGTGAGGGACGATCGCCTTACATAGCTGGCTCCCCATCGATAACAAGATGCAATCCAGGTACGGTGGAGGGGTTGGGGCATATTGACAGGGTGAGGAATAAAAAAACGAATGATGCATGAGAGGATGGTATTACCTTTGAAGACAGCAAAGACACCCTTGATGAATTTCTCCATGCTTTCCCGGACCTGCAGAGAGGTCAGGGGACAGAGAGCGGACGCATAGAGTGTGGGATGAGGGGGTAAGTAAAGGTGAGAAGATGGATTTACCTTTGAAGACAGCAAAAACGCCCTTGATGAACTTCTCCATGCTTTCCCGCACCTGCAGAGAGGTCAGGAAACAAAGAGCGGACGCATGGAGCGTGGGATTAAAGGGTAAGCAAAAACAGAGAGCTGAGAAGCTAAGTGACTCCTGTTATGGAGTCATGGGCGGGAGTAGCGCGAATGCTGGCGTGACGCAGAAAGGGACGGAGGGAGCGAGCAACGGAATGGACTTCAAGGGAAAGGGGGGCGTGATTCAAGAAGGAGAGGCAATGAGACAGGAAGAGAAGAAGAGAGAAAGGGAGAGAAGGGGGGCCGCACCTCGAGGGGCAGAGTGGCAATGAGCGGCGCACAGAGCTCTGATGTGAGTTCCGACTCTGTGGGCACAAAGATGGTTTTCACCTGCCAAAGATAGTCATGGGTGCAATGCATGGCGTGGCACACCCCACGCAGCATAATAGCACACACACAGTGCTCTCCATAACAGCACACGACATAAGAGCACACGCCATAAGATCACATGCCATGACAGCACACGCCACGACAGCACACGCCAGAACAGCACTACCCAAAACAGCACACAACATAACAGCACACGTCATATGAGCACACATCACAGCAGTGCACACGTGTAAAAGCTTAGCAGCCGAACTCCTCACCAGTACACCAATCGTATCCCATTCCTTCCCATGCTCCTTTCCATCCCCCATTCCTCACTGCGCCCCCCCATCTCACCTCATCCCACTTCTACCCCCATCCACCCCCTATTCCCCCCGGCTCGCCCCCTCCTCACCTTGTCCCAGTTCTCCTCGATATTGACGCCGCCGCACTCGGAGAAGCTCACGTCGCAGCCCAGGCGTTTGGAGGTGACGGAGAGGTAGTACTCCTCCTTGTGCGGGATGAACGGCTCCACTATGAACGTCGTGATGGGGCCCTTGCACTGTCCCATCTCCACCTGTTGGAGTCACAGCGAGAGGCACAGAGAGGAGTTGACGGAGAGGAGGTAATGGAGAGGTAGTACTCCTCCTTGTGCGGGATGAACGGCTCCACTATGAACGTCGTGATGGGGCCCTTGGACTGCCCCATCTCCACCTGCAAATAGCACGTGAATGAGGCGAGAATGACAATAACAATATAACCACCTTCTTCCTTCTGTGCAATGCGTCACGTCATGGAGCCATCACAGGTGGAATAGCCTTCTTCCAACCTCCAGGCGGGAGATTTGATTCGACGCATTGACAGGTGATGCCACTCAACTAAGCATTCATTACAACTGCCGTGCAGGAGCGGAGCAATCTCAATGTCGCTTCACAGCACAAAGCAGAGGCGCTTACCTCCTTGCCGAGTTTGCTCTTAACGAATGCCTCCACCCCTGCAAAGTCCAGGTCGAGAGCCACCTGCGCGAGAGGGAAAAGGGAAAGAAAAGAGCAGTTGATACGTTGAGAGTGTTTTTCGAGGGAACCCCAAGAACAGTTTCGCGAAGTCCACCACGTCGAAAGGCATTTGCGAGAAAAAAACGGCGACGGTTTCAGTGCAGCCTCAAAACATGACAGCAACAAGGCCCACCAATAGTAAATGGCTCACCAGGCCGCTCTTGCCTCGCTTGCCGAAGAGCATGTCCGGCTTCACCACCATGCGGGTGCTGTTCATCCATGGCTGCTCGTTCGCGAGCTTCGCGAAATCCGTCTCCGATGTGATCTATTGAGAGCGAATACGTTGGACATTGCAAAAAAAAATCAAACAAATTAGCTTCAGTTGGTTTGAAGATCAGTACTGGAGATTATTGGAGTGAAACGAACACAAGTCATGTGTCTAGTTGACAGCTGCGGTTCACACCGAAGGTCCGCAATGAAGGGCACATATGCGAGGAAAATGGTGCTCCCACCTGGACAGAGTTGATAGTCAGATCGATTCCGGCCAGGCGCTTCAGGTGCTCTTTCAGGAGGCGCTTGGAGTCGTACTCTCGGATCTTTTTCCGGGCCATATTTGGTTCTGTGTGATAAACGCGAGACCAATGAGCAACGGATGGATATGGCTAACGGGTGGACAAGACCACTAAATCTTCCCAAATGACAAACGTAACAACATCCATTCCTACCTCAACGTACGACAGCAAAGCTGCACTTGTTCTCACGTGAAACGCCCAGATGCGTCAGGAAGAACCGGCTACTGACGAACTCAAACGCACAACTCCTCGGGAGGCGAGGAAGCTGGGCTAAGCTGAAGGCTACTGATTCCTGAGCTCTCAAAAATCAATCTAGTTGAAATCAAGGATCCCAAACTCAGCCTCTCCTTACGTTGCGACTCTCAAATCTCAACCAACTTCAGAGGAAGGGACGTATTCATCTGCGTCGGTGCACTGATCATTCGACTTTGGTGGTCATTGATCCTGAACAAACGACTACGAGAGGTCAGATGTGCGAGGTTTGCGAAAGGTCCGATTTCCTTTCTGGCGAAGACACCTCGGTAAATTTGCGAAGCAAATCGAGGCCTTTCGCATGAGCTCAGAACGACACAGACAAAGCAAAAATATGCTGGGTGCAAGAATGATAAAATCCTGCCTCAGGGAAGTCCTCACATTTGGCGGGTTTCCCGAGGCCGACAGTGGCGGACATCAGAATTGCGAAATGGAGTCCCAAGAGTTGCCACTGGCTTTCAGTGAATTCCCAAGAAAAGAAGCAGACAGTTCTGGGGTTCTTCCGCCTAGACGCGCGGATTTGCTACAAAACTGTTTCCGCGCAGAGGTGTGGGGGAGTGAGGTGGGGCACTCTGAGCTGATGCTGACGTTACTTGGGCCCAAATCAGCAGCACCACACCTGTCATGTCGTCCCGTGGCACCACGCAGTTGGTGCTGGCCCCTCACTCTCACACAAGTGGTCCCACCACCAGCCAGCAGTCAACTCATTGGAGAACACTTCAGTAAAAGACCTACATATCCATCATGTTCAACTCAACACAATGCATAGTTCATTCTATAGTTTACTTAAAGAGTCACCTGCCAGCCTCTTGATGTCCTCTATATTGTACACCCCTGAAACCGAGTCATCGACGACGGCTCGCACCGCTACAGCTGCAAGATCAGCAACATCTACAGGAGGCGCTAAAAGCAGGTCAGAGGCTGGAAGAGGGGAGAACAGCTTTGTGATATCCTTAGTGGCTGACAGCAGCTTCTCCAATGGCTGGCCAATCAGATCAAGCGGTACCTCCACACCCCCGGTTACCCGCCTTTTCCCGTAGATAAATCCTGGCCGCAGCACAACTCCTGGCACGTTCGGTGAGGAGAAAGGTTTGACAAATAGCATGATTGGGGGAGACAGGAAATATATATTGGGTGGCCTTGGAAGAGGAAAGGGGAGGTGCATTTCACTGGAGCTAGTAAGGAATCATAGCATGATAACAGCAAAGAATAATGTTAAAAGGTGAGCCTGTCAAAGTTGAGTGAGCTTGCAGGAAAAGAGGCGGCTGCAAGCGAGAAGAGAGCAAGAACCACACCTGTGTTGGGGAACGCGTCAAGAACCGCAGTCTCAGCTCTTTTCTTCCCATTGAAGTATCCATTCTGCTTGGCAAAATCGGGCAGGTTATAATCATGCACCGACACAAATACAAACTTGCGCACGCCACAGTCTTTAGCTGCATCAACAGCAACCACTGTAGCATCTCCGTTGATCCGCTCCATCTGCTCGTCCGTGCCGAATCCTCCGATGCAGGACACCACTACTGTCACATCCGTTAGAAGCACAGGCCAGTTGGCAGAGAACACGTCGCCAGTCTCCCATGTGACACTGTTAACCCACGTCTCGTTGGAAATGGAGGGTCGGCCAGACCTGAAGGAGGTTCGGATGTCAACAATGGTTGAAGCAAAGCGGAGCCGGAAGGGGCTTTGAGACAGAGGAACAGGCAGTCAGCTTGCCATAAAGAGAATGCTGGAATTCTGTATATTGGTGGCAGAAACGGTTGACATTCAAACAGAGAACACCATGCATCTGCTCAGGCTGACCATGTCAGTTCCCCTGTCAGCTGCTGTTCGCGCTGCATCTGCCATGACCGAACATCATCAAAATTGCTCTCGGATTCAGATATAACCCAGGCATGCCCACCTGCTCAGGCTGACAATGTCAATGCCTCTGTCAGCTGGTGTTTACTCTATGCATGCTGCTACTGGAGACTGTCGAATTGCTTTCAGATTCAGATATAGCCCAGGCATGCCCACCTGCTCAGGCTGACAACGTCAATGCCTCTGACAGCCGCTGCTTTTGCCACAGCGGACCCTACAGATCCATTCCCACCAAGAACCAGCAAGTTGCTTTCATTATTATCACATCTCGAGTAATCCGCACCTGCTCAGGCTGACAACGTCAATGCCTCTGTCAGCCGCTGCTTTTGCCACAGCGGACCCTACGAATCCATTCCCACCAAGAACCAGCACCTGGGAGAATCGGGAGGGGGGAGGGGTTGAGGTGAGTGGGACGTTTCAATTTCAATCAATATGACCCACTCTCGCCAAGCACCAGCACCTGGGGAAATTCAAAGGGGGGAAATTGAGGCTGGTGAGAGGTTTCAAGTAGATAACAAAAAAAGCCACTCCCACCAAGCACCAGCACCTGGCGGATCTGAAAGATACGAGTTTGAGGCCGATAAATCCACAGGTACTGGGATAAGATCAACGGATTGAGGAATTCAGGTGTTGCTCGCCCTGACGCTCTTGGCATTGCCTGCGCTTCCGCTCTTGGCATTGCCCGCCCTGTCTCTCTCGGCATTGGCCGGATTTCACCATTCAATTGTCTCACTCCCGCTCTTTCTCATTCCCTCGCCTTCTGAATCTCTCACTTTCGCGTTTACTCATGCTCGCATTTGCTCACCTTCTCGTTCTTAATCTCGGCTTCCACGTCGATCGCCGCGTCTCCCGCTTCTGCCGCCTTTTGAGGCGCCTCAAAAGTCATTCGCTCACCTTCTCGTTCTTAATCTCGGCCTCCACGTCGATCGCCGCGTCTCCCGCTTCTGCCGCGGCTGCTGCGATTTTCCGTCCAGCCGTTCGCCTGTGTGGCTTCGATATAGTCACGGATGATCTGCGGATACGAGCAGGACGCAAGCGGACGTCTCGTAAGGGAACACGAACGAACGTAAAAACAGTGGTAAGAAATTAAGCTCTCTGCAATGCGTGGAATGAGGTGAAGAGGACCCACAATGGTGAGTTACATGTTGCCGCGACGTGCCTCCACGAAGAAGGTCCATGGCTGGTAACTCGCACATAACCATCGCGACGGAGAGATACGATAGTAGGAGGACATTGCTGCGAAACGGCAACGATCTTCGCTGACGCCGACGGAACTAACAGTGCAGCAGAAAACGCCATGAGCAAGGCGTACCGCGAAGTAAGGCGGATTTCCCGTCGAATGGGAATGAGAAAGAAATGGTGAATGTGTGAACAATGCAGAAGTGAGCGCTTCTTTCTAGAAAAGACAGGCACGCTTGTACTCGTTATAAGCACACTTTTTGGCAGTCATTGATATGCTAAAAATGGATCTCCTACAAATCATTGTGTTCCAATACAAGCAGCATTATTTCTACCAGAATCAATGTGGCATCTGCTAATAATGGGCCAAACAGCAATTTGGATTAACAATTGCAAAACAAATGGGAGTGCCAGACGAAACACTTATTGGAGTAAAACTTTAAGCATATGGCTTGTCCTTCATGGCCCACTCGAAGATCTGCTCGTATTGCTGTGCCGCCCGGTTCCAGGACATGTCCTGAGTCATGCCCCTCTGGATAAGGCCTTGCCACGATTCCCCGTGCTCACGGTAGGTCTGAATGGCCGTCCACAGTGCCTGTGTGCATGACACGACACAAAAGAGGCACAAAGAACCAGCACAAATGAACAGAGCAAAGAAAAGTCATATCACATGGTTAGGAATAATGACACTGGTCACTGCTGGCCAGAAATAATGGTCAGAACAGAATGTTGGGGTTGGAGGGAAGAGGGGAATCGTCCATCCCAAACGTCCATCCCAACCGGCCATCCCAACCATCCATCTCAAGTGTCCATCCCAGCCCTCCATCCCAGCCACACAAATGGAACATCCAAAACAACATACCCCCATCATGGCTTCCTGGGTGAGTGGGGAGAATGACCACCCCGTGCCGGCTCCCGCTCCCCCGTTGGCAAACGGGTTGAAGTCCTCGACAGTGTCCCTCAACCCTTCCGTCTCATCTTGAATCTCAACATTCACCCCAACAATCCGTCCCAACCATCCATCCCAACCGTCCATCCCAACCTTCCATCCCAACCACAAGAACAGGACAATTCGAATTCGGAATACGTACCCCCATCATGGCTTCCTGGGTGAGTGGGGAAAAGGACCACCCCGTGCCGGCTCCCGCTCCCCCGTTGGCAAACGGGTTGAAGTCCTCGACAGTGTCCCTCAGCCCGCCCGTCGCGTGCACCACTGGCACCGTTCCGTACCGCATTGCATACAGCTGGTTCAGCCCGCACGGCTCAAAGCGCGACGGCATGAGAAGGATGTCGCAGCTGGGATAGGAAGCAGGGGGGAGGGAAAAAGGGGAAAGCAGAGAGACAGGGGTTCGGGAATGAGTGGGGGAGAAGGGTGTCGCATGCACATGCGCGTGCTCATTCCCACACGGCTCAGAGCGCGACGGCATGAGGAGGATGTCGCAGCTGGGATGGCAAGCAGGCCGGGAAATGGGATTAGATGAGGGGGGCGTGAGGGGAGTGGGGGGGAGAGGAAGGGTGGGTGGTGGGAGAGAGGGGAGATGGATTCATGAACAAATCCCAGCCATCCATCCATCATCTCAGCCCAGTCATGAGCAAATCCCAGTCATCGACCATCCAAAACAATACTTCTGCACCTATCCCAGTGATGTGGTGAGGCATGGGCACAGAGAGGCCCACCCAGCCTCTAAGCCATCCAAAAGCTCACTAACAGAACAACCTCACACTCATCCCAGCCTCACCCGGCAGTGATGCGATCAGCCACGGGCACGGAGAAGCCCACCCAGCCTCGAGACTGTCTCTGCGCTAATCTCAACCGTCCATTCATCATCTCAAAACAATCATGCACTCGTCTCAGCCTCACCCGGCAGTGATGCGATGAGCCATGGGCACGGAGAAGCCCACCCAGCCTCGAGACTGTCTCTGTGTCAATCTCAGCCGTCCATTCATCATCTCAAAACAGCAATCGCATCCCAGCCTCACCCGGCAGTGATGCGGTGAGCCATGGGCACGGAGAAGCCCACCCAGCCACGGAACTTGTCGGGGTAAGCACTCTCCGCCCACTTCATCCATTCCTCCAAGTCTGGCTCTCCACTGCCCAGCATCACCTGGGCGAGGAAGGGGGGACATGGAAAGGAAGGGCGGCAGGGATGGTGGAAGGAAAGGATGAGCGGGAGAACGAAGTGCTTGATCTCATGAGAAGCCCACCCAGCATCAGAACTTGTTGGTCAATGCGGCCTCAGCTTCATCCACACCCACCCACCCACCCACCCACCCACCCTGCTTCCACCTTTGTGTCGTCACAACCCCGCAACCGCACCACAACCCCCCACTCCCATCCCCACAACGCTCCATGGAGCAGCACCAGCCTGCGGACTCACAAACTGCACGTCACCTAACATACGCTCAGGCAGCGCCGCTGGAGGCACCTCACATTCCTACCCCCACTCCCCCGCAACCCCCCATGAAGCAGCAGCACCAGCTTGCGGACTCACAAACTGCACATCATCTGACATACGCTCAGGCAGCACTGCTCAAGTCATGCTTTGAGGCACCTCACCTTCCTACCCCACCCACTCCCATTCCCACAACGCTCCATGGAGCAGCACCAGCCTGCGGACTCACAAACTGCACATTGTCAGTCATGAGCTCAGGGATTGATGCTTGAATCATGCATTAAGGCATCTCACCTTCCTACCCCCCACCCCACCGACCACCCCGCCCCAATTCCCCATGGAGATGAGCCTATGGACTTACAAACTGCACGTTGTCAGTCATGAGCTCAGGCAGCGATGCTTGAATCATGCTTCGTGCAGCACCTCACATTCCTTAACCCACCTCCATTTCCCCACTCCCCGCAATGCCCCATGGAGCAGAACCAGCCTATGCACTCACAAACTGCACGTTGTCTGTCATGAGCTCAGGCAGCGATGCTTGAATCACGTCCGGCCCCTTCTGCCAGTCCAGACGCCCGATGAAGCCAATCTGATGAGGGGGAAACACGAGAGTTACACAAAATGGAAAGGCAGGGGATGGGCAATAGCTGAGTCAGGTGGCAGAGTGCACGATTGGATCATGTTCGGCCCCTTCTGCCAGTCCAGACGCCCGATGAGCCCAATCTGATGAGGGACAGGAGAGACCAGAGATGAACAGCGAGACAAGAGAGGGACAGAAACACAAGAGGGAGAGAGAGGCAAGGACGAGAAAGGCAGGGAGGGACGGGAAGAAAAGAATCAAGAGACGAGCTGCTGGATTGAATCACATCCGGCCCCTTCTGCCAGTCCAGACTCCAGATGCACAATGAAGCCAATGTGATGAGGGGATGAGGGGGGAACAGAGAGGCAAAGAGGGAGGAAGCGGGAGAGGGGCAAGCAAGGGTTGATTGCAAAGGCAATGCGCTGCTTGAAGCACGTGCACACAGTGCTGCCACGTGTGCACAGTGCTGCCACGTGCACACAGTGCTGCCACGTGCACACAGTGCTGCCACGTGCACAGTGCTGCCACGTGTGCACAGTGCTGCCACGTGCACATAGTGCTGCCACGTGCACACAGTGCTGCCACGTGCACACAGTGCTGCCACGTGCACACAGTGCTGCCACGTGCACACAGTGCTGCCACGTGTGCACAGTGCTGCCACGTGCACACAGTGCTGCCACGTGCACACAGTGCTGCCACGTGCACAACTCATCAGGGGCACATCTGGGCGCATGGCCAGCCCCAGCTCCTTCTGAAGTGCCGCCTTGCACTCTGCCTTGCCGCTCAGTGTGTGCGAGTCACTAGTGAGTGGCTGTGTGCCTCGAGAGTAAACACACACACACACAAGGCTATACAGAGGACTCTACCAGCCGGGGGCTCAACTCACCAGGGGCACCTCTGGCCGCACAGCCAGCCCCAGCTCCTTCTGAAGCGCCGCCTTGCACTCTGCTTTGCCCTCCAGGTCCTCTGCTGTGAACTGCGAGGGGATGTGCTTGTCTGTGGCAGGGTTCCACTCCACCGTGTCAATGCCGTTCGTCACTCCTGCAGGGGGGGGGATGGAGGCGGAGGAGGGAAGAATGAGGGTGGAGAGTAACCTGAGGTCATTTGCTTGTCCGTGGCAGGGTCCCACTCCACCGTGTCAATGCCGTTCGTCACTCCTGCAGGAGAGAGGGCAGATAAGCAAGGGGGAGGGGGTGTGATGAGTGCCCTCCAGGTCCTCTGCTGTGAACTGCGAGGGAATGTGCTTGTTGGCAGCAGGGTTCCACTCCACCGTGTCTATGCCGTTCGTCACTCCTGTAAGGGGGATTGTGGGGAAGGGCGAGAGGGGGGGAGTGGGACGGTTGTGAGTGGTTCTCTCCTCTGCAGTGAGCTGCGAGGGGATGTGCTTGTCTTGTCCGTGGCGGGATTCTTGAGACGTCTCAAAAGGGGATGTGCTTGTCTTGTCCGTGGCGGGATTCCACTCCACTGTGTCTATGCCGTTGGTCACTCCTGTGGGGGGGATTGTGGGGAAGGAAAGGGGAGGTTGTGTGGTGAGTGCCCTCCAGGTCCTCTGCTGTGAACTGCGAGGGGAATGTGCTTGTCCGTGGCAGGGTTCCACTCCACCGTGTCTATGCCGTTCGTCACTCCTATGAAGAGTGAGCGTAAGGAGTGTGAATGCAAAGACTGCTGAGGAGGAGTGTGAATGCAAAGACTGCTGAGGAGGAGTGTGAATGCAAAGACTGCTGAGGAGGAGTGTGAATGCAAAGACTGCTGAGGAGGAGTGTGAATGCAAAGATAAGCAGAGTGACGGGGAGAGTGAGGGAGGAGTGTGACGGGTAATGTGAAGGAGAGTTTGGGATAGCAGCGTGATGGAGAGTGGGTGGGAGAAGAGTGAGTGAGTGAGGGAGCAGTGTGAGGGAGAGTGTGAGGGAACTGTGAGGAAACAGTGTGAAGGAGCAGTGTGAAGGAGCAGTGTGAAGGAGCAGTGTGAAGGAGCAGTGTGAAGGAGCAGTGTGAAGGAGCAGTGTGAAGGAGCAGTGTGAGGGAGCAAGGTGGGGGGAGACGTACGCACCATTGAGCACGATGCTTCTTCCTCGCAGCAGTCCGTCCAGCCCCCATCCGCCCTCGCCTGTCGTGATCTCCCAGGCATAGCCCTGCAGCACGACAAAAATAGATAGCATCAAGGTCTTTAATCACCAGGCCGTGTGCGTGAAGGGGGCAAGGGGAAAGAGGGACAGGGGGAAGGGGGGAGGGAGGGGAGGCTGGGGGGAAGGTGGGGATGGGAGAGGTGGGGTGGGGGGGGGGGGGGGGGGCAGGGGAGGGGAAGAGGGTAGAGTCGAACCCTCCCACGCATGCACCTGGCTGACAGTGAGCACGCGATCGGCAGTGACAATGGCCCCCTTGAGGATGTTCACTGCCTTGCCCTTGTCCAGAGCGTGCTTCCTCGCCCACTTGGGGAACACCCACTCCAGCGCCCCGCACCACTCCCCTGGCACTCCCACCCTCATTCACCCCAGCTATATGCATTCTGGGTTTTGGATGTAAGCTCTTTGTTTACCAGGTTGTGTGTGTGAGGGAGGAGGGGGAGGCCCGGGGGGGCAGAACGTGGGGGGAAAGAGGGTCGGGAGGGGAAGGGGAGCGGAAAAAGGGGTGAAAAGGTGGAGGGGGGTGGGCAGGAGAGAAGAGCACGCACCTGGCTAACAGTGAGGACGCGGTCGGCGGTCACAATCGCCCCCTTGAGGATGTTCACTGCCTCGCCCTTGTCAAGAGCGTGCTTCCGCGCCCACTCGGGGAACACCCACTCCAGCGCCCCGTACCACTCCCCTGGCACGCCCAGGCTGCCAAAGGTGTAAGCGGCCTCCACGCCCTGGTGGGCCAGGTTGTGAATGGCGATGATGGTGCGCGCGTCCTTGTAGACACCATAGCGGCGGTACTTGGCTGCCACGAGGCTGGGGCATGCATGGGGTGCAGGGGATGGGGTGATGGAGAAAGGGGAAGGAGAAGGGGAGGAATGATGGGCAGAAAGAATGGGCAGGGGCGGGGAGGGCAGCAGGCAGGAGGCACGCCCCGTACCACTCCCCGGGCACGCCCAGGCTGCCAAAGGTGTAAGCGGCCTCGACTCCCTGGTGGGCCAGGTTGTGGATGGCGATGATGGTGCACGCATCCTTGTATACCCCCTAACGTCTATACTTAGCCGCAACAAGACTGTGTGCATGCATGGGGCGCAGGGGATGGGCATGGGGTGCAGTGGGTGGAGGACAAGAAGCGGGTAAGAGCAATGCGGGCTCGACGCCCTGATGGGCTAGGTTGTGAATGGCGATGATGGTGCGCGCGTCCTTGTAGAGTGTGAATGCAAGGGCAGGGAATTAAAATCTTGATATGCGTTGTGGGCTCTTAGAACTCAGCATGCCTATTTCCCACCCCACCAACCGCCACTCACACAGGCACGAGTCCGGCGTGCCAGTCGTTGGCCACGAACACCACCTTCTCCCCGTTTTCAGGCACTCAGAGCACTCAGCATGCACTACCCCCCATTCCCTCACTCGTCACTCACACAGACACGAGCCAGGAACATCAGCTACTCACACAGGCACGAGTCCGGCGTGCCAGTCGTTGGCAACAAACACCACCTTCTCCCCGTATGTGAATCCTCCAAACGGCAACTGCAGAGGCGCCTCACACGCCGCATGGCACAGCAGCGCGAACCGGAACTGTGGTGGGGGGGGGGAGGAGGCAAGGGAGAAAAGGTTGGGGTAGGAAGTGAACGGGTGATTAAGGTGCGGAGTGCGGAGTGGAATGAGGTGCAGAGGGGTGGGGGAGGGTGGGAGATAGGGATGGGTGGACTGAGACCGGGGAAAGAAGGATGAGGGGAGTTTAAAGGAGAGGAAATTGATTGCTTATGAGCTGACAATAAAATCCCCCCATCCCACCTCACCACACCCAACCACTCCCACCCCACCTCACCGCACTTTAATCACTTAACCCCACCTCACTGCTCTCCATCGCACACCACTCCTTCCCCTCACCTGGTTGTCACCAAACGCCCCTCTGGAGTCGCCATAGGGCGTGCCTGGGCGGTGGTAGGACGGATGGTCCACAAACACCTGCCGAGTTGCCACGTGGCACAAGGGGATTCGGGGAGAAGAGGACCATGGTATTGTTGATTCGGCCGCTCAGGCGTGGGATTTAAGAGAGTTATGATTGGTTAGGCATTGTCAAGGCCACCACGTGCTATTCTCGAAGACTCAGAGTGTTCGTCTCATAGACGGAGACCACAAAATAATCCACGCACAGAATGAGTATTGAGACGTCTCAACTACTGGAAGAGAGAGGGTTGCTTCGAGCTATAATCACAGACTCATACCCAATAACACACGACCAAAGAGCGCCCCGGAATCGCCCATCCGGGCCATCCCACGAACTTCCCCAAGACTCCCCAACCCCAACACTCCCACCCCAAGAACTTCCACCCCAACACTCCCACCCCAACACTCCCACCCCAACACTCCCACCCCAACACTCCCACCCCAACACTCCCACCCCAACACTCCCACCCCAACACTCCCACCCCAACACTCCCACCCCAACACGCCCACCCCGACACTCCCACCCGACACTCCCACCCAAACACTCCCACCCCAACACTCCCACCCCAACACTCCCACCCCAACACTCCCACCCCAAGAACTCCCGTCCCAAGTTCGCCAGACCCCAAGAACGCCCGTCCCAAGTTCGCCAGACCCCAAGAACGCCCGTCCCAAAAACTCCCCACCCCCAAAGTCAACGCCATCATGGAACTCGTAGAAGAAGGCCACCTCGTGCCCCTCTCAGGGACTCGGACCCGAACATACACACCCTCTCAGCACACGACCAAGAGCGGTCTAGACACTCACGAAGTCAACGCCATCACGGAACTCGTGGAAGAAGGCCACCTCGTGCTCCTCTCAGAACTCACAGACCCAACCACATGACCCCACATGTGTAAACCCAAGAACTCCCACCCCAAGAACGCACACCCCCGTCTGGAGACTCACGAAGTCAACGCCATCGCGGAACTCGTGGAAGAAGGCCACCTCGTGCTCGCCCTCAGAGAGAAAGCACTTGATGCGGCACTGATGGTAATCACATGGGTACAGAGGGGTGGAAAGGGGTGGAGACGGGTGGAGCCGCGTGAAGAAAGGGACCTCGTGCTCTCTCGCAAGAGAGAACACTTAATACGGCACTGATGGCACACACACGGGTATATGCACAGGTATAGAGGGGTGGAGAGGGATGAAGAGGGGTGAAGCGTAGAGCTTGCCATTGACGCCATTTATGTACCATGACGCCATCCATTCATTCTTTCAGGTGATTGCCGTGTTACCTGGCAATCGAACGCGCCAGCATAGAGCTTGCCGTTCATGTAACACGCCGCCATGCATTCATTCATTCGGTCATAGTAATACTCACTGTTCAAACACAGATGGTTACGGCGTTACCTGGCAATCGAACGCGCCAGCATAAAGCTTGTCCGTGACGCCATTCATGTACCGGGGCGCCACCACCATCACGCGATGGCCACGTGCCGCCAGAGCCAATGGGAGCGAGCCTGTGACGTCAGCAAGGCCTCCTGTCTTGGAGTAGGGTGCCACCTCGGATGCCACGAAGACAATGCTGATTGGTTGAGCGGGAAGACAGGGGGAGGGAGGGAGGATGCGGGAGGGGGCGGGGTGGGGAGGATGAGGGGGCAGGAGAGAGAAGGAAAGAAGTGTGTGTTGGAGGGGTGGGGGAAGTGGGGTCGTGGTGTGCGGAAGGGAAATGCAGCTGAGAGACATGACAAAACGGGGAGAAGGGGCTGTAAGGAATCTTGCAAAACAAAGACACGATAACGTGTGCGGATGCTACTGTTCTTATCTCCCAAGATAAGGTGATGATAAATCTTTAAGTTCGTAATTTTTAAAAGCGCATCAACATGTCCGCCCTCTGTGTTTGTTGCTGACGAACGGGAAGCCCTTGCAGCAGTAACGAGAGCTTTAACGACCCACGCATTCATTGATGCAGAATTCAGACATAATAAACATAAAATGTTAATAAGTTTCACTACTATAAGCACACGACCACCTCCTGCATTTCGCCATGAGCCTTTCCGCTCACCTTATGGGATTCTCAGTCTTCTTAATTGGCCCATCGCTCCCATCCGCCGTGTGCTTGGCGCTCTCCCTGTCCCTCTCCAGCTCCGCGTTCCGCTGCGACGCCGACGCTGCGTCGCCCGGCGACTCTGCGACGGCAAGGGAAAGGAGAAAGGACGGCCATGCGAGGAAGAATGGAGGGCAACACGAGGGAGCAAGTAAGGGAATGGAAGGGGGAAAATTCGGTAATGAGAGGGAAGACGGAGAAATGCGTAGGCCGGCAATACTAGGGAGCAAGGACGACACGCGAGAAGCCTACATTGGAAAAGAACCTCGAAGTCGACTTCCCATCCAACCTTCGGAACACATTAGCGTCTCGTCGTGGCGCCAGTCTTAAACGCATTGAAGCGCGATGACATGCCAACCTACCGGCAGATGCGGCGGCTGACGTGGTCTTCGCTTCAGCAGGAGCAGCAGGGGACGGCGACGGGGGAGGAGGCGCCACAGCAGGAGCACCAGCCGTCGCAGGCGACGCAGACGACGCGGCGATCACCGCTGCGACGTCTGGCGGCGGAGCAGACGGAGCCACAGCACCCGCCCGCGGCCGGGTCACGTCGACTCCCGCCTTGCGCTCCCCTGCAACTTGCACCGCTTGCGCCGCCGTCGCCGCCGTCGCCTCCTCCACCCTCCTCTTGAGCACCTCGTTCTCCTCCGCGATTCGCCTCAGCGTCGCCTCGAGATCTTCCGGATCCGTCGACAAAAGGACGTAATCTTCGGGATAGTCGTTCGCTACTGTCCACGCTCCCGCATCCTCGTTTGGACCGGACGACGCGGGAGGCTGCGCTGATGCTTTCAAGGAGAAGGGTCTTGAGTTGTGACGGTTGCTTCTGAAGCTCGTAGCGAAGTTGCGTGCGACGTGCGACGGCTTGGCAACCGAACGAAGTTGTGGTGAGATAGAAACGCTCGCAGCATTCGCTAACGAAGCCATGCTGAACAGATTCACGGTCGGCTATACACTGATAGAGAGGAAAAGTGTGTTTCTTGGGATAAAAAATCGACGATTAAAACTCGTCGCTGAATAAGTGTTAATGCAGCTGCGCAGCGGCGTACAAGAAAACCAACCAAGCCAGCAGACTGCACACTGGCTAAGATAACCCAGTGCAGTCAATACAGAGAAATGCAAGGGAGATAAGAATACTGCTCCCCCTACCTCGTGAAACTGGAAAGGAGATATTCAGGAGGTGTGGAAATGTGAGGACAGAGGGAGATGAATGGGAATTCGTGAGGTCAGGGAACTTCCCTAGAGATTTGCGAGGCGCTCTGACTATGAGCCCAGGAAACTGTGCTGCGGAGCGGGCTGAATGCTCCTGCCAAAAGCTTGAGCTTATTGCGTGGCGTCACATTCGCTAATTGCTGTGTGGAGTGGGATTGAAGGAACTCTCGGGATATTTCGTGCAGTGCGCGACGGAAACTTGTGGTCTTGGGACGATAGCCATCGAGTCCTGGAGATCAATCATGCGATGGTTGACACGTCATAAAAACCAGCACACCTGGCAGGGTAAGAATGTCCACATCAGATGGGCTGGGCACCTGTGGCTCCAATCATGGCTTGAGGTCAAATTCAGGGTGTAAGTTGAAACCTGTGGCGAAAACGTGGCACATACATACTTCCAGAGCGGCTTTTAGTCATCAGGAATGGTAGAAGAAACAAATATTTTTCAGGTCAACACATAGTTGCCTACTCTAAAAATCAGACATCAAGGACTAGTAAATGAAGAATACAGGATAACGTTCTGTACAAGATATAACCTACAGCTGCAGTCTAAGCTCTGGCTCAGACGCAACTGACCTAGATTGGAACTGCCCAGACTGGTCATCACGCTGCTGCTTCTGCTGCTCCCAAACTGGCATTTGCTTATTAGCTTGAAGCTCTGCAAGCTCCTTGTTTTTCTGGGCCTGAGCCAGAAGCTGAAATGCCTGTTGCTGGTCCTGTGGTGAAAGCCAGCCCTGTGGAAACCGGCTGTCTGGAGTGCTCTGCTGTGCTGTAGTATTCTGTTGCCGCTGGCTCTCTTGCTGCTGCTGAGCACCATTTTGGGTAGGCTGCTTCTGCAAAAGAGATGCTTGATGCTGCCGGAGTAGCAATTGCTGCCGCTGTTGCTGCAAACGCTGTTGCTGCTGCTGTTGCTGCTGATGCAGCGGCTGCTGTTGCTGTTCCTGCCTCTGCTGCTGCAATCGCTGCTGCTGCTGCAAAAGCAGCAATTGCTTTTGCCTCTGCTGCTGATGTTGCTGCTCAGCTAGCTTCAGTTGCTGCTGCTGCTGCCGCTGCTGTTGAAGACTCGGTGGAGACCGTGGATCTAGCGGCTTCGTCATGGCACTCATCATGCTTGCTATGTTGGCAAATGAACCAGTTGTGGCAGACATGCTACCATCAGCAATGGGTAAACCAGCAGACGCAGAGGCAGAAGCATGGTTCGACGCAGCTGCAGCTGCAACACTGAATGCAGCAGACGAGAACGACGACCCAGCAGAATTGCTGTGAAGGCCATGATGAGCCTTCAGTTTATCTAGGGCAGCCATCATGCTCCGAGCAGCTGATGAAGAACCAGGTCTCAAAGAGGATGTTGATGGGTTAGTCCCTTGCTGCTGCTGCAGAACGTCAGCAAGAGTTGCAGTTGTACGAGCATTAAGAGATCCATACGCATTCGCTGCTTGCTGCTGCTGGGATGAAAAATCAGCAAGCCATGCATTGCCTGGAAGACCACCTGGCCAAGATCCTTGTGACACAGAGGCAGCCAGGGTTTGTGCAGCTTGGTTGGAGGTTGCTACAACTTGGGCTCCACTGCCATCTCCCACAGAAGCAGCCTTGCTTGAGTTAAGCGGGCTCCCCAAAAGACCATCAATCTTTCCGGCCTCAAGAGCCGCCCAGAGGGGGCTATTCTTGAAGCCATTCTGAGAAAACACTGCATGATTTCCTTCGACCATTTTGTTCAGATGGTCTGCAGCGTTCTTGTCTCCAGGGTCAGACGATGAGGTTGAACCGGCTCTTACTGGGGATGACAACCCACCAAGCCGTTGCAGCGAATTCAAACCTTGCTTGCCAAAAGCAGCTGCAGCGATTGCAGGAGCACCAGGTGATGGGGTGGACGCATTCTGAGACCACAGGGCATTCAGAGCTCCCATAAGGGCCGAACCAAGGGGTTTTGTGGGAGTTTCGACATCAGCAGAGCCTTGAGGTGCATGCATGAGCGACTGCAGAGCCTGAGCAGAGAGGACTGACTGACCCTGTCTGGCAGAGTTCGCAGCCTGCAGCGCAGCAACAGCTGAAGCACGCATTGCCAAAACGCTGCTTCGATCAACGTGATCAGCAGCACCTGCGCATGAATTCAGCAGCGTCTGGATCGCCGCATTGCTCAGACTAAGGGACCCAGCTTCAGAGGGACTTCCTGCAGAAACCCCAACTGGCCCACTTAAGGCCTCCTGTGCAGATATCGGAGAAACTACAGCTGCTGTCGGTGGAGGCAAAGAGAATCCTGCTCCAGGTCTGCTTGCACCGTTGAACCAGTGTGGCATGTGGAGCATGTCTGACGATCGGCCAATGTCTTTGGGCCCATGGACAGACTCCGATGTTGAAGACACAGGAGCCCCATCGCTAACGGATTTTGAATGGGCGATCTCAATGGGAGCTGCCGCAGCTGCTTCAGAACAAACCTGCAACTTAGTCAGTGATCCAGGATGTGGAGAGGCAGACTTCCTCAGACCTTTGGCGGGCCTTGCAGAAGTCTTGGCTGATGTCCTCACAGGTTGCTTTGAGGCTTGCTTTACATCATCCACGGAAACGTCAGGGACCCCCTCCTTCTGGCCTCTCAACACACTCCTCGCCAACTCGCCCTCAGGATTCAACGACTGCAATGACTGCAAGGGGTCATCCTGGCCAATCCATCCTCTACCAAAAGGAACTTCCGGAGGGAGGGTCTGCTTGACTTTCTCTGCAGCGACTTCCCAAACCAACGAGCCAAAAGGCGACGCAAATCGCGCTAAGCTGTGGGCGTAAGCGAGAGGGTCTTGATCCGCCTGCAAATATGGAAACGGCAATCGATCAATTTCAACAAGCTATGAGTGAAAACGACAAGTGAGAACGAAATCAAAGTGCTTACAGAATAGCACAGGGCGAAGCTCTTGGGCACAGCACTTCTGCTCGTCTGAGAAGACCTTGACTGTCTCCAGGAGCGGAAGGACAGGTGCTTCCCGCCACTTGGGGATGTTGCTCTGCGGCAGACCTTGTAGTTCTTCAACCGGGACACTGAAAAAGCAAGTCAGGAAAGCGTTAGCAGCATGAATTGAACAGCCCCAGAATTCGACAGGAAATAGCAACTCCAACTGACCTTTGTTACCAGAATCATCGCCTCCTAGGTAACTTGATTTCGGCTGGCTCTGGCTATTGGATAGTTCCCCTTTCTCCATGCTTCTCCCCAATATCCTCTGTGCAGGCTTAGTCTGCGCAATGTCCTCTGACAGTGATACCTCCGATCGTTCGTCCATCCCAAACACCAAACGATCTTTCTTGTCATCCACCAACGGAACGGCCTCCTTTCTCTGGCCCAGAATTCTTCGACCTTCAAGGGGAAAACAAACAGACGTCAGCAGACAGCCTCAAAGGAAGAGAAAGCTGTAAACTGCAGTAAGCATACCGGACTGAGTGTCCTTCTGCGCAGGATCAGATAGAGGGATCCTTTTTGGACGACCGGGTTGACCTCTTCCCCTTCCGCGACCTCGAAATCCCCTTCCAAATCCAGATCTTGCGTAAAGCTCGTTGGAACCTGCTGCTGGAAAAATCTTCTGAGCAATTCCTTGAATAGCCTTAGCCTGCTTGTAATATATGGTCCCCTCGGCGTTATAGATCATGGCATTCTTCCAGATCAAGGACACGTCATCCTGAAAGCAGGAAACACGAGACGGTGAATACAAGCATACAACCTCACCTAAAAGTCGCTTATCCAACAACAATGAAACGACGGGACCTCTACACAAGTACCTCGAATTGGCCCCATGACGTATAAAGCTTCTTTGCAACCCTTTCCCTCACTGTGCTGAAATCCATGGGGTGAGAAATGACGTCAAAATAGTCCGGAACCTGTTTTGAGGAAAAAATTCCGTTATTAAAAAAAAAAACAAATCATCAGAAAAACCAAGAACAAAACAAATGAAGAAAAAAACAAAGAAACAAAAAAAACCCAAACAAATTTATATCGTACCTCAGCAGGATTCACTGGAACAGAGAACACGCCATACAAGTCCTTCCTGCAACAAAAGAGCGATGTGGGGTTCCTTGAAACACACGAAAACAAAGGGCCTCGTAGTTCCAAATGAAGCAGAACCGTAAACTGGACTGTCGCAAACCACTCACTTTTGCAGTTTGTCCAGAATCTCACAGAGCGCTTTCTCTGGCAGCGGTTTTTTTCCGTCTGTTTCACAAGTGAAAACTCCAAAAGTCAGCAAAAGAAACTCCAAAAATCGCAGAAGCATGCTGGAACTGAACACGGCATACCTTTAAGTGGTAAGGAAGATTTATTTTCATTGATTGAAAATGTCTGCTCTGACGGTCTCGAGTCCGTTATTCCGCTGTCCGAGAACTGCATTTATCACGAAAATCCATCAACACCCGGACACGCACAAGGAAGAAGGCTCAGAATCTAGTGAAGTGAAGCTGACCTGTCGCTTTCGCTTTGACGAAAAAACTGGATGCGCTACCGTTTCATCAGCAGGTGGTGATGCCCCTTTTGAATCAGGTTTTGGCGGCGACGGGATTACTAGACTATGCTCTTCGCTTATAGCCTTCGTTCGTTGTCTCTTGGGATTGGGGACTGAGGGGTCTGTGGAAATCTCCTGCGCCTTCCAAGTCCGAGACGGAGAGGCCTCCAAGGAAGATCGCTTGTGTATTTTCAAAATAACTCGAAGATGGTTGTCATCCATGGTCGATTAAGATGTCGCATATACGACGCCGATGTACTGCCCAAAAACACCACATGCGTGCATGTAACCCAAACATAGGATCAACGGGAGTTGTTGACACAAGAAACATCGTTTCCATGGCGACCAACTAGCATGAGGAACCCTAAAAACGCGTCTATCTGGCTGGAAAATCAGATGCGCGCTTGGAAGTGGAAGACAATGCACGGATCACCGAAACGCCCTGAACTCGGTTTCTTATAAGAACAGAAACAAGCCGCACGTTCAAACGACTTCCATCGGCTCCCTATCCAGGACGACCCACAAGGAAGAGACCAGACAAGGAAGACAGACTGCATGGCATAGTCAAAGGTACAGCGGATAGGGCTATGGTGGGGTGGTGGTGTGCGTACCAGGCGTGATTCGCGCCAACGCTGGGGAGGGGAGATGGGAGGAACGGACGGATGGAGGGACGCTGGTTGAGGGTAAAGGGACGCTGGCTCGTAAGGCCCCACTTGGGTGGGTCTCGGAGTTCCGTGCTTGGTGAGGTCGAAACCCTAGCTGATTCGTTTTCTCTGCCCGCGATTCGTTACAGTGTTTTGACGCCCGTCGAGGGATGAGGAAACAGTTTTCCAGACGTCAGCTTCGATGGTTCGCGTGTGAGGTGTATGGTGAATCCTCCCACATGCAGCCACCCATTGTCAGAGACATGTGTACAATAATGAGTGGATGCGTAATCAGAATGTCCAATCGGAAGCCAAAAAACCACGTCCCGCTGGGCAGGCGTCGCTGGACAGTGGGAAACTCAAGACAGCTACAGCAACCCAAAACGTCATCCCCAGAACTTCTTGGGCCCCGAAGGCCCATCTCTGTTTGGCTCTGCTGCTGGAATAACATTTCTGCCCTGCCCAGCCAACTTTACCATATCCACCGCCCACATGAAGAGTCTCTCCCGTCAGTTCTTCTGTCATCTTGGCACTACTTCCGTCTGCTGCCCCCTCCTATCCAACCTCGTTCCCCTCCACTCGTCCCTTCACCGTGGGTGCTGTTGGTCAGCCAGTTCCGTTTTCCGTTCTGACCCGAATGGTAACGCCCCAGCAGTGACTGACGGACGGATAGCGACTGACTGTTTGGTTGTGTTCTGCGCTCACCAGTCGCTATCATCGAACGAACCAGCCAATTGCGGCAATTCTGTTTGGGTTCGTGTCGCCTGGCTGCAACTCCGAGTCGCGCTCTATTCGGAACCAGCACCCTTTCCGAGAATGTGGAACACGTGCATATAAGCTTTTCGACTCTATCCAGGTTGTGTTTATGCAGTTCACAACTCTAGCTTTCGTCCGCCTGTGTTTTCAAGCATTTGCTCGGGCAACTAGACATGAATTAACTTGTGGATAGCCATTTCACGCGTCTTCTGATGCTCCCAGGTTGTTCGGTTTTCATAACGTCACTGACATTAGGTTGGCATAAGCTGCCATGGGTTGCTCATTCTCAAAGCCCGCGGTAAAAGGCGATTCTAGCACGAAGCACATCAAGCAGTCTACGTCCTCGAAGAAACCGAAACCGCTCCCAATTGCGATACCTTCCGACACGTCTGGCTGCTTGAACCTTCCAATTCACCTTGCACCGAAATTGCAAGCGAAGCCGGGGGAAAAGCCACGAACACGAGCAGACATATTTTCCCAGTGCTTGTGCTCAGGCGCCGAGGCTTTGAAGGTAGACGAAAACGATGTTACGGACGAGCAGGAAACCAACGATAAGGCCAATCACGAGGCAGCGAATGAGAAGCCGTCGCCAGCCGGTGTGAAGGCAGCTGTGGACGATTCAGCTTTAGCATCAGCAACCGACGGTTCAACTGAAGCAAATGCGTGCGACGCCACTGTATCGGTGGCTATTCCATCCACTGCGCAGGAGCGCGAACACAGTACAGCCAAAGCAGCTGAATCAGAAGCTGACAAATGCGCTCCCTCTGCTGCTGAATTGCGAGCTCCATCGGCTCTGTGTCCCGATCACGATAAAGTGGAAAGTTCAGTAGCGGTGGCGAATGCTCACGACGTCAATGGTGAAGCTGAGCCTAGGGAAGGCCCTCGATCCCAAACGAGCGAGGCGGTCATTGAGGGAAACGGAACGACGAGTTCAGAATCACGCAATGAGGCAAATTTGGCCTCACGTGATGCAGAAGCGGCGGCACCTGAAGCAGATTCGGCTGGACGGGAGTCAGATACAGCCGCACGTGAGCCGTTTAAGAAGCACAGGAAGTTGAGCGTTGAGCTGCCTCCTCTGGTGACGGACGAGGATGTGATGCCGGACGGAAATGACGTTGCTGAGCTGATTGACGTGCAGACGATCATGATGGACCTGGAGGATGAGGACGAGGAGGAGGAAGAGGACAGGGAAGAGGAGGAGGACGAAGAGGAAAAACACCAGCAGCCGCAGTCGCAGCAGCAGCAGCAGGCGCAGAATCTGCAGCAGCACGAGGAGCAGGAGGAGCAGCAACAAGAACTGGAGGAGCAAAGAGATCAACCTGAATACAGGGCTGACGAGGCATCGGAGGCTGAGCAGGGAAATGCTCAACAGAGAAAACCTTCAGGTGCTGCTCAGTCTGGGGATCATCCTTCACTGATGGCGACTGACCCCTACGCTGGCGCTTCCGAAGTCGAAACTACGAGCAGGTCCACGTCCGTAGATCGTGGTGCTTCTAGTGTGGCCGAGGAAGCCGTGCCGGGTGTACATTCCGGGAGAATTGACGATGAGGAGGTGGAGGACGTGTTGAGAATGCTGGAGGAGGAGGCCGGAGTCATAGCAGCGGATGCGCCGGCTGGTGGTGAGCTTGACAATGCAGACAGGGTTGACGAAACTGAACGTACTGACAAACCTGACAGGGTTGTGGAAAGTGACTCTTGTGAGACGGTTGAGGTCGACACTGTGAATACGGGCTTGGCTGTCCAACCAGAGCACATGGGACTGACGGAGAGCAAATTGGGGGAGTTGGGGAGCGGTGGGCAGGCAGCAGAGGAGGGGAGAGAGAGCAGCAAAGAGCCGGCAGGGGCGGGGGAATGGGGAGGGCTCGACTCGATGTTTGACCCGGATGTGCTGGCGAGCTTTGAAGAGGATCTGAGGAGGGAGTGGGAGTACAGAGTCTCGTTGGCGGAGCTGGTGGAGCAGGAGGAGGAGGAGCTGGACAGAGAGGCGCGGCGGCAGCAGGCGGGTGTGGGTGAGGAGCAGAATGAGCAGCCTGACCAGGAGGCACGGACACGACAGTGTGAGGAGGATGAGGAGAAAGAGCAAATGCAGCAGCAGCAGCAGGAGAGGGAGCAGCAGCGGGAGGAGCGACGGCTGGAGTCAGCAAAAATAAACCCTGCGGTTCGGGTTCCAAGGAGGACTATATCAGGCATGAGCGTCACTTCAGATGGAGGTATTATCTTCGATGGGTTTGAGGATTTCCTCGTGGAAGCAGAGGAAGAAGAGGCAGCTTTCCTGGGACAGCAGCAGATGTTTAAGTCGGACAGCAATCAAGAGCCAGCACAGGTCCATCAATCGGTCAGGGCAGGAAGTGAAGCAGGCGATGGGTTGGGATGGGTGGGTGATACGCAGGAAGCAGGATATGAGGAGGATTCTCTGTTTGATCCGGAGCTCCTAGCCACCATGGAGGCGGTTTTCCACCAGCATGATCCCGCTGACTGGCGCCGCCTCACCCCCTTGTCCAGTCCCATGCGCCATGGACCCAACTCTCCTGCACCCAATTCCCCTGCGCCCAACTCGCCTGGAGCTTCCGTCTTCGCTCCTGGCTCGCCTGCCGCTGCAGTTGACGCCATGGCTGCAGCTGTGGGCAGGATGAGAATTCCAGCTCGGGCAGGGCAGAGTCCTCGGCGAGGCAAGCCGCCGTTGCAGAGTCCGAGGGCTCGGCTGACTAGTCCTCGCCCCCAGGCTCCTAGCCCACGCAGGTCCTTTAGCAGCATGAGTCCCCGCAGAGGGGGGACGGGCGAGAGTGCTCGTAGGGTATCAACAGGCGAGATTCCTCATGGTGCTGTGGGGAGGGACTGGCAAAGGATGGGGAGTCTTGGAGGTTCGGGCCGGGGCTGGTTGACTCCAGGGTTGGTGAAGTCCGGGAGTGGAGGTGTGGTGGGATTGGCCAGTATGGTGGGTGTTGAAGGGGGTAGAACAGAAGTATCTGGGCGTGGTTTGCAAGGGGAGGGAGAAAACAACACAGGCGGTTCCGGCAGGGTGGTGGATGGTGTGATTCAGACTGCGACCTCGGCTGGGATGGATGGTCCAGTAGAATCAGGTGTCGTTGAGAGAGTCGATGCAAGCCAAGGCAGCGCTTCCAGGGCCCATGAGCCGAGTGCTGGGCGCTCTGCTGAGGCTGGATCCAGAACTGAGGGAACAGGAGCTGAAGCAGCTGATGTGGCAATAACTGGCACAGGCAATAGAGACGTGGCTTCGTCTTCTGTGGAAAGGGGCCGCTTGACACAATCTGGAGGCTCTGGGGTGGTGGCTCAAGCTGATACTGTGTGTGCTGTTATGAAGGCGCCTAACGGGAGTGGGAGGATGTTGCTAGAAAGCTTCCCAGTAAATTGTCCACCGGGAGGGGATGGCAAGGTGGTTCTGTACATGACAACGCTGCGGGCAGTGAGCCAAACTTTTGAAGATTGTATGCAAGTGCGACTTGTTCTCAGGGTGAGTAACAATATGCTCTTTTATTTTCTCCTCGTTCGCCCTTTCTTTCCAGTACCATACTCATTCACTGTATTTCTTCCCCCGTTGCTGCAGGCTCTTGGAGTCATGTTTGAGGAACGAGATGTGTCCATGCGGGTTCACTTTCGTCAGGAGTTGAAAACCCTAATGGGAAGCGCATCTCTGTCAGTACCGCACCTCTTTGTTCGTGGCCGCTATATCGGAGGAGCTGATGATGTTCAGCAGCTTCATGATCAAGGCCTCCTTATATCAATCCTAGAAGGGCTCCCAATCAGCATGTCACCTAGAGACAGGTCTGCAAGTAGACACTAGGTTGCGTTTGTCTCCTGTTAACAAAATATTGGCTGGTTGCAGCCACCGAGTGAGCATATTATTCACCCTTTTTGTGGGAGCATAAGAAACTAAATATCACATACATCAAGAACCCGTATAGAAGCCTCTGCACCAGGCCCCTAGATTCGTTTTGAGGTAGTCTGACGCCTCAGAGTACACCCCTCTTCCTAGTCTGGCTGTCAGAGTTACCTATTTTTTTTAGTCTGAAAATTCAGACAAGCACAACTTCTTTTGTCTGAACTGTCAGAGTTACTTCAAATTTTAAGATGTTCATGCAGTTTCATAACAGCATAGCTATAATAGCATTGAAGCTGATTACAGCATACCAACGCAATTGTGCGGCCAGAAATGGGGGCACTCTGATTGGTCATTTGTCAAGAGTTAGGATCACTGAGCAGTCAGGGTCGAGTCGAGGTGTGGGCATCAGACAATGGCCTCGTGCAAGTGCCAAGTGTGGCAAGCTCCCAATCAGCTGACCTGGCAGCAGGCACGGTATCGCTCGGAACTTTTCTGTGCTGGACGCGCTGGCTGCAGCAAGAGTTTTCAACTGTGTACACCCTATGTGCGCGGAATATTCTCTCCTAAAGTTGCAGATTCAAAATTTTGACTCGGTTTGGGAAGGGGAAATGATGTGCGGTTCTGCTGAAGTACGAGACTCATATGTGACACGGCTTTCGGTTGCACCAATTCGCTTTTCGCCATGTGCAATTCGCTAAAATCGTTTTGGCCATGTGCGATTGGCTATCTAGTTTCACAATTGAAGGGTTATTATAAGCCCCCAATGAATTCGACACTCGAGATAGAGTCGACAAAGTAGTGTATCCTTGTACCCCTACTCGAGCAGTTTTATCCGGAGGAAATCGTTAGTGCTGGCCCGTACACACGTGGGTGCATCGAAAAAAAGTTTCGAGGAAGTTTCGTTCCGATAACCTTTCATTCAGTCGGCGGAAACCCCTGTATAACCGGTTTCAGAGTGGACCCCGATACAAGTTTGAGGCTCAGCCTACACTACTATGACTACTCTGAAATTTCAGGCAAGTCAGTTAAAAAAACTCTGAAAAATCAGACAGGGTGCATAAAAAAATTCTTTGAGTTCAGACTAGGTACAAAAAAAAAGTATGAACGGACTCTGAATCAGACTCCAAAGTCTGATATCTAGGGCCCTGCTCTGCACCACTCACCCCTGGATGGTAGTCAGAAACTTGGAGGGGATGACGGACCGCCCTGGTTTCGGGTTTCCGATTCCTTTTTGTCAAGAAAGGAACTAATAATGTCATTGATGTGAGTTGGGGTACATATGACAAACCCTAACTTCTGTACCCCCTAAGACAAACCTCACTAAGGCTACAACATTCGACACACACCCATAACTAAGTGAGGGGTGTCTAGCAAAACCAAAAGTGTACGGTCACAAGACCAGTCACAAAGATACAAAGCTCAGGGTGGATCACAACGTCACCACACATTCTGAGCACAAGCAACAGTGGCCACAAGGCCAGTCAAAGAGTTCACAAGTGTGTATAGCAAGAGTACAAGCAAAGCAAACAGTAAACTCAAGCCTATACACGACTAGAACCTGTGTCAACAAGGCCTAACTGCACACAACACCTCTGGTGGTCACAAGGCGGAAGCGCCTTGGTGAAGATGTCTGCAGTGTTGGCCTCGGACTCCACAAACTCAAAGCGAGCCTGTCCACGTCTCTGCAACTCCCGCAGAAGGAAGTACCTGACGTGAATATGCTTCACTCTGCTCTCCAGTCGTGGCTCACGACAGAGGAGAATCGAAGCCTTATTGTCAGTGAACAAGGTCGGTGCAGAGCTCGGCCGCTCACCAAGGTCAGCGAGCAAAAACGTCAACCAACGCAGCTCCTGTGCCGCCATGGCACCAGCGTAGATCTCAGCCTCAGCTGTAGAGGTCGAGACCGAAGAGGAGCGCGTGGACCGCCATGAAACAGCTCCAGAACCCAAGCTGAAACAGTACCCCTGAGTAGACCTGTGAGTCTCAGCGTCGTCAGCGTAAGAAGAGTCACAGTGACCAGTAAGTACGACAGGCTGCTGCCCTCCAAGAACTAGCCCCACGCCTGATGTCGTCGCTAGGTACTTCGCCACCCTCACAGCTGTCGTCAAGTGAACAGGACGGTGCCTCCCTGGCGCAACAAAGCGAGCAAGGACGCTGAGAGGGAAGGCAAGGTCCGGGCGAGTACAAGTCATCAGGTATATGAGGCAGCCCACTAACTCTGCGTAGGGACCACTGGACTCAAACGGCTCGTCAGGAAAGGGTCCAGTGAGTCTGTGGTCAACAGCAAGAGGTGTGCACTGTACTGTGGAGTGCTGAAGCTCGAACCGCTGAAGGACCTGCTGCACCATGTGTGACTGTGAGAGTGTAATGGTGCGAGCAGCTCTGTCCCTAGTGATCTGCAGGCCAAGGTAGTGACGCAGCTCACCAAGGTCAGTGCAAGTGTGTCTCTTCTGCAGTTCGGACTTCACGTCTGCCAAGGCAACCCTGTCAGCAGTGGCAAAAACTAGGTCGTCGACGTAGACTAGAACAAAGAACGGTGTAGAGCCACGACGAACGAACAGCGACGGGTCGGCAGACGACGGCTGAAAACCAAGGTCAGCGAGAGTAGAACGAAGGGTGTCGTGCCACTCACAGGGAGCCTGACGGAGACCGTAGACCGGTCGCCTCAGCCTCCACTGGGTCCCAGGAGGGAAAGTGCCAGTGAAGGCAGAGGGACGACGCAGCCAGACCTCCTCATGTAGGCTACCCAGAAGAAACGCAGTAGAGAAGTCGAGAGAGTGTAACTCGTAGTCTCTCTGTGCCGCTACGTGCAGTAACACCCGAAGAGTGGTCATCTTCGGGGTGGGCGCGAAGGTCTGAAAGAAGTCAACTCCCTCGCGCTGATTGAAACCTCTAGCCACGTAGCGCGCCTTGAAGACCGGAGGAGATCCCGGTGGCCGCTTCACCCTGTAGATCCACATGCCATCGACTACGTTCGCCCCAGGGGGGGGAACCTCGTCGACGTAGGTGCCTGTGGATCTGTAGGAGGCCATCTCTGCGTCCATGGCAGCTCTCCACTGAGAGGCCCAAGGCCCTGACACTGCCTCAGCGTAAGTGCGAGGAGTCGGTATGTCAAGGGCGTCGGGGTCTCCCGCAGGGGCGAGCACCATGGCACAGAGATGAGGGGAAGCGGCTGCCAGGAACTCTAGCTCAAACTGCCTGTCCTCTAGGGCGTCACAGCCAAGGGCAGACACACCCCCGACGGCCAGAGGACTGGAAGGAGGAGCAGCCACAAGACTGGTGGCGAAGTCAAGGCGGCGAGTAGAGGCAAACTCAGTGACTGCGGCAGTAAGAGCGGAGACAGAGGACACTGAGGCACGAGGGTGGGTAACAAGAGAGGCGAGAACACGAGAGAGAACAGGACGGTACGTGCGGTAGTAGTCAGTGACAGGAGTAGAAAGCGAAGCAGTGAGGGCCGACTCAGGAGGAGACGGAAGCACAGACGGAGACGGACGAGGCGGACTAGAACGAAGTAAGGCAGTACGAAGGTCAGTGAAGGGAACAGGGGACGAGGGACGAGCACGAGGGGAGCGACGAGAGGCCCAAGTCTGAGAAGGAGGAGGGGACAACGAAGACTGAGAACAAGGGAAAACAGCTGGAGAGGGGTCAGGAGGAGGAAGCGGAGGACCCGAGACGGGAGGAGAGGGGGAGGAGGAAGGAGAGCGGGAGGGGAGACCGAGGGCCCGAAGACCGGAGACAGGAGGAGGAGGCGGCGGCTGCTGCTGCTGCGGCGGCGGCGGCGGCGGCTGCTGCTGCTGCTGCTGCGGCGGCTGCTGCTGCGGCGGCTGCTGCTGCTCCTCTTGCTGCTGTAGCGACTCCAGCTCCTGCGCCTCCTGGTGCTGCGGCGGCTCCAGCCGCGGCTGCTGCAGCTGCTCCTGCTGCTGCTGCTGCTCCTCCAGCCGCTGCAACTCTCTCTCCTCTCTCTCCAACTCCAGCTGCTCCTCACGGGCACGACGAACACGAGCCTGGTGCCGGGTCGGGTAGGGGTGGGGGGGAGGAGTAGTCCCGGGACCGCCCTCAAAAGCACCTGGCGCACCACCCCCAGAGTCAGCACCACGAACAGAAACACGACCAGGCTCACCAGGACCCAAAGAGGGTGCACCCGCACCCCCAGACGTAGCACCCCCAAAGTCAGCAGGACCAGCACCAGCTCCCGGAAGACAACAGTCTCCTGCAACCACGGGCTCAGCTCCAACTCCAGCACCCCCAGAGCTAGCACCTGTAGGGCCCTCTCCACGAGCACCGGCTCCCACAGGGTCTGCAGCAGGCTGCGAGGAGGACTGCGGGGAAGGAGGCTGCACCTGAGGGGCGACCGAGGGGGGAGGGGTA